CGTCTTATGATATCACTTATCTCTCAAATTCTCCCCTCGTGGTCCAGTAGTTGTCTCTCTTCTGATCAGCTTCTTCATTCTCCATCATTTGGTCTTTTATATCACTAATTCTCTCTTCTGCCTCATTTATCATAGCAGTAAGAGCCTCCATTTTTTATTGCACCTCATTAATAGCTTTTTAAAAAAATTTCAACTTGGGGGGGTGCCTGGGTGGCTTAGTGGGTTAAGCCTCTGCCTTTGGCTCAGGTCTTGATCTCAGGGTCCTGGGATTGAGCCCCGCATCGGGCTCTCTGCTCGGCGAGGAGCCTGCTTCCCTTCCTCTCTCTCTGCCTGCCTCCCTGCCTATTTGTGATTTCTGTCTGTCAAATAAATAAAATCTTTTAAAAAAATTAACTTTGCAAGACTAAAGGATCTTGGGGGAAAAGCCATGAATTCTATGCGTTGCCTTCCCTTAACTCTGGAGTTCCACTGTTCTCCTTGATCAGTGAGCTTGGTCTTGGCTGGATGTTCTTGATCATCTTCTGGGGGAGGGGCCTGTTGCCATGATTCTCAAGTGTCTGCTCAAGGCGGAACTTCACCGCCCTTGCCAGGGTCCAGGCTAAGTAATCTGCTTGGGTTCACTCTTGGGAGCTTTTGTTCCCTGAATGCTTTCCATGGATCTCTGGAGGATGGTAATGAAGACGGCGGCCTCCCTATCTCTGGCCCAGAGGAGCCAAGAGCTCGGGGCCCCACTCCTCAGTGCGCCCTCAGAGAAAAGCGCTCAGTCTCTGCCATCTCCCTGGTCTCCGGCCACGATCTGAGCACTCTGACTGAGCATTTCTATCTCTGGCACATGGCCCTCTTTGGAGTCTCCAATCCTAGCAGATTCCTGCTGCGCTGCTCCCTTATGCCGTTCTTCCCAGAGGAGGAAGAAGGGGGTATCCCCGGATCTGCCACTTGTGGGGTCCCTGCTCGAAGACCAGTGGCCCGAGTGTCCCTCGCATCACAGTTTAAGGTAAGCCCGAACTGAGAGCTCACTCCTTGGCTCTGTCTCTGTATTTGGCTTCCCCGCTCTGATGCCTGGGGGCTCTACCACATTCAGGCACCTCCAGTCTTTCTGTGACCCCATGGGACCTGAGACCACACTGTCCCCCAGAGTCCCCCAGAGGCTCCACCCCCGCTTAGCCTCTGGAGTGATGTCCCTCAGTGGAGCAGACTTGTAGAAGTTCTGATTTTGTGCTCTGTTGCTCTGCCGCTTGCCGGGGCTGGTCCCTCCCCACCGCGGTCTATCTTCCCGTCGCTTCGGATTCACTACTCTGCGCATCCTACCTTCCTGAAAGTAGTGATTTTGTTCCTAGAATTGCTGCTCTTCTGTCTCCTGTTGAGTTTTTAGGTGTTCAGAGTGGTTTGATAACTATCTAGCTGATCTCCTGGGACCTGATGCTGTTTCAGTCTCCTACTCCTCCACCATCTTGCCTCCTCCCTTGGGGGCGAGAGCTGACATTTTATCTTGACTTTGGCCATTTTAATTAGTATGTGTCTTGATGTGGACTCCCTTGGGTTTAAGAGGGTTCCCCTTTCTCTGCTTTCTTGCCAACACTTGTGTTGTGTTGTTGATTTTAGCCATTCTGAGGTGTGAGGCAATATCTCACTGTGGTTTTGATTTGTATTTCCCTGATGCCGAGTGATGGGGAGCATCTTGTCATGTGTCTGTTGACCATCTGGATGTCTTCTCTGAAGAAATGTCTGTACACGTCTTCTGCCCACGTTTTAATTGGAGTATTTGTTTTGTTGGTGTTGAGCCGTATAAGTTCTTTAAGTTGGCTACTAACCCTTTATCTGATATGTCATTTGCAAATACATTTTTCCATTCAGTAGGTTGCCTCTCAGTTTTCTTGTTTCCTTTGCTGTGGAGAAGCTTTCTATTTTGATGGAGTCCCAGTGGTTTATTTTGGCTTTTATTTCCCTTGCGTCAGGAGAATATTGTTGCTATTGATGATCAGTGTCAGAAAAAGCACTGCCTGTGTGCTCCTCAAAGATTTTTAGGGTTTCAGATCTCACATTTAGGTCTTTAATCCATTTTGAGTTTATTTTTGTGTGTGGAGAAAGAAAGCGTTCTGGGGCTTCTGGCTGGCTCAGTCAGAGCATGTGGCTTTTGATCTTGGGTTGTGAGTTCAAGCCCCACACTGGATGTAGACATTACTTGAAAATAAAAGCTTTTAAAAATAATTTTTTAGGGACACCTGGGTGGCTCAGTTGGTTAAGCAGCTGCCTTCGGCTCAGGTCATGATCCCGGCATCCTGGGATCGAGTCCCACATCGGGCTCCTTGCTCGTCAGGGAGCCTGCTTCTCCCTCTGCCTGCCATTCTGTCTGCCTGTACTCGCTCTCTCTCCCTCTCTCTCTCCGACAAATAAATAAATAAAATCTTAAATAATTTTTTAAAAAATACAAAGTAAATAAGTAGAAGTACAAAGTGATCAGAGAGAGAGAGAGAGAGAGAGAGAGAGAGAGAGTGTGTGTGTGTGTGTGTGTGTGTGTATTTTAAGCAATGTCTATACCCAGGCAGTTTTCCCAACACCATTTGTTCGAGAGACTCTTTCCCGTTGTATATTCATTCCTCCTTTGTCAGATTGACTATAACTGTGGAGTTATTTCTGGATTTTGTGTTCTCTTTGATAGATCTGTGTGTCTGTTCTTATGTAGTACCATACAATTTTAGTTACTACTACTTTGTAATATAACTTGATATCTGCAATTGTGCTATCTCCCATTTTGTTCTTTTTCAAAACTGCTCTGGCTATTTGGGGTCTTTTGTTTAGCAGACTTTAGGATTTTTTCTAGTTCTGTGAAAAATGCTATTTGGGGTTTTCTTTTTTTTTAAAGATTTTATTTATTTATTTGACAGAGAGAGCGAGATCACAAGTACACAGAGAGGCAGGCAGAGAGGCAGGCAGAGAGAGAGGGGGAAGCAGGCTCCCCGCTGAGCAGAGAGCCTGACGCGGGGCTCAATCTCAGGACCCTGAGATCATGACCTGAGCTGAAAGCAGAGGCTTTAACCCACTGAGCCACCCAGGTGCCCCAAAATGCTATTCGTGTTTTGATAGGGATTGCGTGACATCTGTAGGTTGCTTTGCATAGTATAGATGTTTTAACACTATTTGTTTTTCCAACCCATGAGCATGGAATGCCTTTCATTTGTGTTGTCTTGAGTTTCCTTCATCAGTGTTCCATTATTTTCTGAGTACAGGTCTTTCACCTCCATGGTAACATTTGCTCCTAGGTATTATTTTTGGTGCAGCTGCAGGGCTATTTTCTTAATTTCCCTGTTAGTTCATTATAACTGTATAGAAATGCAGTGGGTTTCTGCTTACCGATTTTGTGTCCTCCTTCCTTATGAATTTATTTCTCAGCTAAAGAAGTTTTTTGGAGTCTCTAGGGTTTTCTATATATAGTATCATGTATCTATAAACAGGGAGAGTTTTATTAATTCCTTACCAATGTGTATGCCTTTTCTTTATGTTGTTTAAACATAAAGGTGAGGACTTCCAGTACTATGGTAAATAAAAGTGATGAGAGTGGAATTCTTTGTCTTGTTCCTGATCTTAGGAGAAAAGCTATGTTTTTCACCACTGAGTATGCTGGCTGTGGATTTTTCATATTAGGCCTTAATTATGTCGAGATATGTTCCCTCTGGACCTACTTTGCAGAGGGTTTCTGTCCTGAATGGATGTTGTATTTTATCAAATGTTTTTTCTGCATCTATTGAAATGATCATATGGTTTTAGTGCTTTCCCTTATTAATTGGATAGATCGTGTGGATTGTTTTGCGAATATTGAACCACCCTTCTGTCTGGGAAATTAATCTCACTTGATAGTAGTGTATGATTTTTTTTAATATACTGTTGGATTCAGTTTGCTGATATTTTGTTGAGGATTTTTGCATCATATGCATCATGACCTACTTACTGCACAAAGGAGGCTAGCTAGGGACCTCCCTCTCCTACCGGTTCCTGCAAGATATGCCCCAAGGTCTCATGAGAGTTGGGCTGGGATTTCATGAGATTTGCCCCAAGATTATATGAGATCTGGGAATAGAAAGAGGTGGCTTGGTTTTGGGAGTACAAGTCCCAGACAGATCGCCCTCAAGTCAGCAGCCTGGGAGAGCCCTCGGGCGATGCGCCCGTGTTCAGTCGAGCCCGCTCACGTGCACATTGCTCCATCCTGCAAGGACTGCCCTCCTGTTTCTGTCACCTCTGCTCCACTGTGAGTAAGGGACCGCAAGGCCCATTCATCCCTATTTCTGTGCTGTAGCCTCTAGTTCCTTTTTTTTTGTGGTGTCTTTATCTGGTTTTGGTATCATGGAATGATTTGGAAGTTTTCCTTCCTCTTTTTTTGGAATATTCTGGGGGTAGAATTGGTTATTAACTGTTCTTTAAATGCTTGGTGGGATTCTCCTGTGAAGCCATCTGGTCCTGGATTTTTGTTTGTTGGAGATTTTTTTTTTTTAAAGATTTTATTTATTTTATTTGACAGAGAGAGAAAGATCACAAGTAGGCAGAGAGGCAGGCAGAGAGAGGGAGGGAAGCAGGCTCCCCGCCAAGCAGAGAGCCCGATGCGGGGCTCGATCCCAGGATCCTGAGATCATGACCCGAGCCGAAGGCAGAGGCTTAACCCACTGAGCCACCAGGCGCCCCTGTTGGAGATTTTTGATTACTGATTTAATTTCTTTGCTGGTTATGGGCATGTTTGAAGTTTTCTATTTTTTCCTGATTTTTTTTTCTTTTTAAGATTTTATTTATATATTTAACAGAGAGACAGAGATCACAAGTAGGCAGAGAGGCAGGCAGGGGGTGGGGAGCAGGCTCCCTGCTGAGCAGAGAGCCCGATGTGGTGCTTGATCCCAGGACCCTGGGATCATGACCCGAGCCAAAGGCAGAGGCTTAACCCACTGAGCCATCCAGGTGCCCCTGTTCCTGATTCAGTTTTGATAGTTTGTGCTTTGAGGAATTTATCCATTTCTTCTAGGCTGTTCAGTTCAACATACAGCTTTTTCTCCATGGGCTTTATGTCCACTTTACCCAGCTGGTGACTTCTCCTTTCCTCCCCTGAAGATGCTGTTGTTACTTGATTTGCTTCCTGTTTCTTCAGTTTTCTTTACTCTTAGCTGCTTCTGCCAGCCCCGAGTCCCAGCAGCACACAGCTTTCATTTCAGCCTCCAGAGGCACTGCTTCCCCCGTTTCTCCTTTACAGTACCCCCTGCCAGCGCGCCGGCCTGGCCCTCGTCTCCTGCCCACCGTCTGGTCCAGTTTTATAGCAGCACTGAGGTTTTCAGCCTCTTATCACCTAAGGTCTTTCTTAGATCATCTTTATGTCATGGGCTCTGCCTGGATTTTCAACTGCAGATTCAGCACCATCCTGTGGTTACTATGATAGCGCTTGCATTTTTAAAAAATCTCCACAAAAAATTAATTTGTGCACCGAAAGAATGAAACTGTACCTCTTTAATCAATTCAACAAATGATTTCAAATATCTCACATCAAAAACCAGTCATAGATAAAGGTAACACTCAAGTTCAACATTTTTACAGATAATTTTTAAAAAATTACTTGTTACAGTAGTCTTTGAAACTCTACACAGATGCTTGACTTTTTAAAATATTTACTTAATAATTCCATTACATGGAATGTTTGCTTTGGAAGGGTACAGTCTGATTTGTACCTGTGATATTTTTGTCCTGTTAATATTGGTATCGTGTTCATTTTTTCTATCTTAATCTGACGGATTAGCATTGTGCTCCAAGTAGAAATGTGCGACGTATCTCCGAAACTCTAGGAGGTCTAGAGCGGTGCCCGGGTTACAGGCTCTGTGTAGCTGCCAGGCGTTGTTCATGGCTACATCAATTACGTAGCTCACCAAAACTGAGTACCATTTCTTGCTTCTTATTCTCACCCTGTACTTGGAAATGATTTGATCCATTTTAGCGACACCTTCCCTGCACTCACCATACAGTTTCACTATGGCCGGCTGAGCTCCCTGGTGGACGTCCTCCTCATTAGCAGAACACCTGAGCTCCCTGGCTGGTGCTATGCCCACAGCGTTGGAGCACAGGCTGGTAACGCCATCACCATGCCAACGACACAAAATTATCTCCTCGTTCTCTTCTACTCGGAAATCAAAATATCCCTTCTTCATTTTCCTCATATGTTCTGCATTCATGAGGGGACATTTTTCAGTCCTGTTCTCTCGAATTGTTCCTGTTGCCCTCAGTCCTTTTTTCTTCAAGGCTGCCACCAATTTGATACTCGTAAAGAAGCTATCAAAACACAGGTGATAGGGATACTGGCCTCTCTCTAGAAGAACATCAGCAAAATGCAGCACTAGATTCCCACCTAAACCCAGACCGACGTCCTTACCCACTGTCGCTGCTGAGTCTTCTTGATAGGGCTCAAACCACACCAGATAACCCTGTGTGGTTGTGCCACACCAGATTTTATAGCCAATTCTAAGAGGCTTCCCGTTCAGGAACTGGTCACTGTCAAAGCATTCACACATTGTCTTACCAAAATAATAGTACTCTTCTAGGGGAGCATACAGGAGGAAATTTCTATTCATTTGCTTTATGAGAGGCCTCAACTTTGTAAACTTATCTTTTTGATCTAGGTGGCTATTATCTGCAAAATGTAGGTATGAGAAAATCAATTCAAATCTGTCCCTTCTAATTGCATCTCTAACCAGGTTCTGGTCAGCATCGGAGATGTCCCAGTACATTCCCCTTCGGGGACGCCTCACAAATCCACTCAAAAGCAAGATACCCAAGACACACCTTATTTCCGGAACTGTGACTTCCAGGTTGACATTTTTCTGAGATGCGTAATTATTGGTTTCACTGACAATCATGTTGAATATTTCATCATCAAAAAATAACTCAAAGAGCTCTACTGGGTTCAGCTTCTCACTCTTAAGATTCAAAAGTCCAGAATCCAGTGCTGACCAGCTTGGGAAGTTGGGTTTAATGTCTCTTTTGGCCCAGTTCTTCTCTGGTACATCTGATATCTTTAGCTTCTTTTGAGCGTGGTGAGCCTCAAGCTTGTTATCTTCTTCCACATCTGAATCCCCAGAGAATGCAAGGCCTTGGAGCAGTTCACTCACCCGAGCTCGGTCCCTTCTCCTCCCCTTTCGGGTCATGTCTCCTGCAGCATATTCCAAGGAGGAGATGTGCATTCGGGCCCACAAGTCACCCGGGTAACGGTCCTTCAGGGTGTTCAAATGTGCAACTGTCCTGTCAGTAGGGACAGAAGTACAAGGTGGCTGGAGCATGCCATCTCTGGAATGAAAAAAGAAAACACAAAAATCCTTAGTCTCACTATGACATGAATCCTGTGAGATTACCTGCTTCTCACTCCTAGGACCTAACGCTTCTGGCCTCTCCCTGGCTTGCTCTCACTTATCTGGACAACCAGCTGTGAGTCTGGAAGGAGGAGCTGGGCATCTCTGTGCAGCAACTCCCTCTTCGGGACCAGGTGGCAGATGTCCCAAGCTCCTTTTGGCCCCAAGCTGTACGGGGCAGGCCTGTGTAGGGGGAGGTCTGCTGGGGAGCTCCTTTCCTAGCCGAGCTTCTGTTGGTAATGAAGTCGAGGTTTCCAGAATCATCTCTTTTACTCCTGTATCTCCATCAGTTCGTCTAAAACTTGGACAAGGAAGGGGGTTGTTTACTGGGCTCCCTCACGCCTCTCTCAGCACTTCTGAATGTGGAAGGATTAAGTTTCTCCCAGCTCTACGTTCAGCTGGGGGACACACTGTTCTGGGGAGAAACTTGAGAAATTAAAACTTAACTGCCGTTGAACTGGTTTTTATGGGGTTTACAAGGAAGGAAGCTAATGTCACCAAGATGAGAAACATTCTACACAAGCTTTTTTTTTTTATGAGAAGTTTGGATTTCCCCCACTCGTGTCCTCTTGGTAAAGAAACAGTCTAGACTAAGGGGGAAAAGACACTGAAAAGAATGTTATAACTTAGGCTGCATGTATTTGTTTGCTTACAGCATTTATCCTGGGTGTCTCCAGTGCGCACGCGTGGCCCATTCGGCGTTGCCTAATGTTCCCGCTGCGGGGACCCTGTGCGGAGGCCGCCGTCGTGCCGCGTCTTTTCGTCTCGCCGCCCCACGCCTCTGCCCTCCCATCTCACGGGCCCCTCCCTGCCAGTCAGCTGACCCCGCGGTCCGCGACCTCAGCCCCTCCCTGGCCAGGATCGTCCCCGAGCACCTGCCCAGGGACCTTCTGCAGCCCAACTCAGCGCCAAGTGAGGCCGCCGTTGGGGCTTCTCTGGTCCTCGCCCCCGCGTGGGCGCCGCTCCCTGCTCACCGTGTCGGTCTCCGAGACTCGGCCGGTCACCACCCTGTCTGGAGTCCTGCTCCCCAGCCCCTCGCTCCCTGCTCCCCACACTTCACCTCTTCATCCTTCTCAAAGCTTCAGTCCCACAGCCTCGCGCTCCACTCCAGAGAGGCCCCAGAATGGCTCAGGCAGAAAGTGCCACTGACCCGGCCGCCTGCTGTGGCTCCTGCCACCCCCAGCCCCCAGCTCTGGACCCTCTCGGGCGCCGGCGTGGTCCCTCCTCGGCCTCTCTCCTTCCCACCTCATCTGCAGCCCCAGATCCCTGCCCGGCCCCGAGTCCCATCCAGACGGCCCCTTCCCTGCCCCACGCTGTGTCCCGCGCTGTGCCCTCCCGGGACTGCACGGCAGGGACAAGGCACTTCCTGACCGGGTGGAGCCAAGGGAAACCAGCTGGAAAGGCGGAGCGTAAGCACAGTGGCTAGAAGACAGCCCTCCAACACAGCTCTTCCTCCGCCTCTCCCATCAGCTCATCACTGATCCTGGATCCACACCTGTCTAGCTCATCGTGGCCTGTGACAGAAACCTGAGGAGCTTTCCCAGACCATCTGTTTGGGGACAGTGGCAGGCTGCGACTGTCCTGCCAGCAGTCTGTGCCTCTTAAGTCAGCTCATCAGAAAGCCCGGGCTACCGGAGGCAGCCGCGATCCAGTAAAGGCCAGAACCCGGTCCACGCCAGTCCTTCCAATCCCGTTCCCTTCTAGATAATCGGTGCCACCAGCCTCTTTCCGCCAGACGTCCCTTTCAGCCAGTAAGAAACGGGAAGCCGGGCGGGGCCTCCGCGAAGCCCTCTGCGCTCTCAGTCCAGGGAGGGCACATGCGTAGATGTGGCCTCCTGCCCGCTGTAGACCTAGTACTTGGCGCCGCAGGGACCCTCCTGCAGTCACGGGGGCCAGAACTGGGTAATGACACTTGATGGCGAGTAGGAGCCTCTTCCCGCTGGTCTGAGCACAGGCGGTGCTTGTCTCTGCAAGTCCAGGTGGCCATACTGCACGGAAGTGAACGAAGACACGTCCTCGGACTGTGCCGTCCTGCGGCCCATAGTCTGGCCCGGAGAAGTCCCCCACGAGGGCGTGGAGCGGAGTCAGCCACCCTCAGCGGTGTCCCTGCCGAGGGCCCGCGGGCTCCGTGGTGGCTGTGAGTACTTGGGAGACACGCGCAGGTCTGAAACTGCGTATTTTATACAAACAGATATTGATGATGGACGTACCTCATGGCCCAAAATGGTGGGAGGAGGAAAGGGGAGCGAGTAGCAGGAAAAGGAGGTAAAGCGACTGTGGCTGGCGGGGCCACAGCGGGTGGAGACGCGGGGAGTCAGGTTTCTGGGCTCTGAGGCCAAGCGCCCCCGGCGGACACCACCGGATTCCCACTGCGCGCGCACGAGGACTCACTGAGCGTCATCTCCTTCGGTGGACCTTGGCTCAGGCCTCTGGACTTTATGAACAATTTCACTTTTCTTAGGTTTTAAGACATTTCCACTCTCACTCAGCTGGGGTTCGGAGTGCCCCCCACCGCTGCCCTGAGGCAGGCTAATTACCCCGCACTGTGTCCTTTCTCCTCTTCTCCTCACCTCTGAGGGGCTCATGGCTCACCTGAACACAGCCCTCTGCCTCTGACCAGGTCCCTCCTGTCCTGCGTGAGAAGTCCCCGTGCTCCATTCCCACAGCCAGCACCAAGTACCTGCTAATGTCTTTACTTCCTTCGCCACCAGCCACTTTGCTAACGCAAGGTCTCTCCACCGCCACGACAGGCCTCGCTCTTGTCTAAATTCTCTGCCTTCTCTGGCTCATCTGTGGTTCCAAAAAGACCTAAGGGCGCTCAGGGAAGGGGGACCAGGAAAGGTAAACGGAGTCAGGATGGGATTCTTGGAGGCAACTGTGCACCAACTGAAGGTTTTGTGTAATGCGGGTGCTGGTAGGTCACCGTGACTCGGGCCTCCTGTGGTGACAGAAGTGAGAGTTACTGGTCCTGCACTATCCCAGGGAAGCAGCTTTGGACCAGTGGACACTCACCTACTGGCTGTTCCTGGGGCCTCAGCAGTGTGCTCCATTTCTTGAGAAGTTTCTTTCTTTGCATTAAATAACCCATCTTCAGTTACAACTTCTTCAGCTAAAATAATACAATTTATATGTCATCTGTTGCCTGAATTAAGAAAGAGGAAAAAAAAATTTCCAGAGTAGGGAACAGAATTTTCTTTTTCAGGGAGCTCTACGGCCAAGGTGGGGCTCAGACTCACAACCTGAGATCGGGAGTCGCCTGCTCTACTGACAGAGCCGGCTAGGTGCCCTGGGAATAGGATTTTCAAATTAACATAATCATCAGGCGTCCCAGGAATGCTGTCCCGTGGCCCTACAAAGTCTGGCACAGTATGGGAAGATAATGAGAAAGGTCAGTTAGCTGGCGAGAGGGTCTAGCAAGATAAAGCACATTTAAAGAAAATTATATGAAGACAATAGTCTTTTTGGAGCGTGAAGAGAGCTTCTCTGAGGTAAAGAAGGGATCAGGCAGAGGCGTGTGTGTGGTTTCCGGACTGGACACTTACATGGAACCCTTTATAGGAAAGAAAACGGGAAGCAGAGGAGTCGTGAGGGGGTCAGGGAGTACGGAGGGATGAGCGAGAAGGTGACAAGAGTCAGTGATGAGTACTGACAAGCTGAGTGATGAGTGACAGAAGAAATGGGAGGGATGTGAAAGGGCAAGGGCTGGGACATCCGCAGGCAGAGGACAGAGAAGGGGAAGGGAGTCGATGGGCTGTCGGGAATGTTGGCTCACAAGGGTCATTCAGAGCTAATGACAGGAGAAGGTGCGCACAGACACGGGACCGGCCAGAGGCTGCCCTCACCCATCAGACAGACATCCGGAACCTTCTCCTGAGCCAGCTTCCCACAGGGGGTCCTGGGGGTCCGACTCGGAGGTGGCTGCTTCTCTGTGACAAGGGCCTGGGTGGCTTCTTCCTCAGTCTTCACTGATGTCTGAAAAGGCAAAAGACGGCCTCTTAGTCTTCCCTGTGGTAAAGCTGGGGGTCCTGTTGTGAAGGGCGTGTCCCCCACTCTGGGGGCAGTGACGCAGCCCCCCCCCCCCGCAGGGCCGTGCTCTTGCTGAGGGTCTTGGCGGGGGGAGGGGGGGCATCCTTGCCCCCCTCCTGGCTGCTGGTGGTTGGCAGGAATCCGCATTCTCTGGCTTGTAGATGCGTCCCTCCCGTCTGCCTTCACAGACCTTCTCCTAAGGACAGTACCAGACCCGCGCCTGCCCTGCTACGGGACGACCGCATCTCACCTGCATCCCATTGCCAAAAGTGTCTTTCCAATAAGCTCACGTTCACAGCTACGTACAGTGCTAGGGCTGCACTGTACCTTCAGGGGGACGCAGTGCGACCCACAGCATCAACTACTGATTTAAAAACATGTACAGATGACTTCTTTTCTGTACATTTATTTTCCTAAAGATAAAATATTTGTTAAGACTAGACGGCACAAGAACTAATTAGAAGCCACAAGAAAGGACCAAGGGAGGAGAGGACTCCACAAGGACTGTGTTTTGAGAAAACTGATTCAGTGACACAGGTCTTAATGGAAGACTTAATTATTAAGTAAACGACTAGGAAAATGATTGAACCACTGAGAGACTAAGGGGTTGGGAAGTTTTGCGTTACCACAGTTACTCTCCTGAAGGTCAGGTCTGTGCCAGAACACCAAGAACGGGGAGGAAGAATCCCGGAGGCCCCCAAGATAAAGCGCACACAGGGGTCTGCCTCTTCCTTCTCACACTGAGACGTGGCTGTGCCTCCTGAACACGGAGCAGACTAGGGCACGAGCAGGTCATCCACACGGGCCCCGCAGGAGGCATCCGTGCCCTGACCCCTGTCACAAGCTGCTTGAGAAGCTCCCCCCGGTGAGGGCCTCCAGCCTGACAAGGGCGAGGAGGAGATGGCAGGAAAGCGAGCTGCCACCCACCATGCTGCCATGAGCCAGGCACCCTGCTCACCTAGGACCCTGCTGCGTCCTTGCCTCTGGCTGGTCACGGGGGAGCAGGCTCTGTGGGGGAGGAGACGGGTGTCCTGTCTGAGCCACCAGAGCCTGGAGCAGCACCCTCTGCGGGGGTGGGGGGGCGCTACACAGCCTCTGACGTGCCTGAAACTGAGGTGGCGTGCCACAACTGTCCCCACTCTGTCCGGAACCTAGTTCTAAAACTGCGGGGTCCCCCACCCGCACGACCTAGTGTTTGCGAACTCTTCAAGTGCTTTATAGCGGTGCCCTGTCACATAAAGCGAATTTTAAAGTCACAGATGAAAATAAGCAGGAGGAAGAAGCTAGTGCTCCAGGGAAACCTGAGCCGAGAGGGGAGGGCCCGGCAAAGGGGAGACAGGACAGCAGGAGAGCTGTGGGAGTGGGAGCGGACAGCAGAGGCGGCTGTGTGCGGGGGGCTCTCTGGGGGACGAAAACCCTCCCACAGACGAAGCCACTGTAGGCAGGAGGTGGAAAGGCGGGCAGTCCGCCTCGTCAGAAGCCACCGATCCGAAAGGGACCCACAGTGATCAAACAGGAAGGAGGACTGCACGGGGCCGGGCACCATGCTGCTGCTTGAAAAGAGGATTTTCCGTGCAGAATCATCCCGAGTCCAGATCCTCATCTCCATTTATCCTCGCAGGTTCAGGGGAATCGGAGCGAAGTGCAGCGACACAGGAAAGTCGAGAGCCATCCAGGGGAGATGGTGCAGCAGGCGCACTGAGCTCACCTGGTCCCGTGGGTACAAAGAGGTTGCACCCGCTTCAGCGCACACGGCCCAGAAAATGCCGCAGAGACTGGCAGGACAGACTCTCGCAAGCGAAATGCAGAGAAGCGCCCATGTGAGAGAAGACGGGAGGGTGGAGGTGTGGTCAGGAGGCAGATGGACCCTCGCCACTGTCTGTGGGCAGGGGGTGGGGGCACCCTGGGCGCTGAGAGGGGAGAGCAGCAGACCCCGCCCGGCCTGGGAACCGCACAGGGAGATGAAGCCCAGAGCCTCCGGCTTTGGAAACAGAGTGGCCGGGTTCCCCAAGGGCATCCGATCAGGGGTGCTTCAGCGGGGACTTTAAAGATCCGCTGCTGAGCCCTGGGAAGGGCGGGCGGGAGGAGATGGGAGACGCAGAGCAGCAGCAGTGTGAGAAATGCCCGCGGTCTGCGGGTGCGAGCTTTGTGTGCCGCCCTCCAAGCGTCTGCGAGAGGGACGGGAGCGCTGGGTTTCTCCAACAGCAGACGCCGGCAGCCTCCACTTCCGCTCCTGCACCCCAGCCTGGACCCGCAGAGGGTGGGGGCCGGGCCGGTGCCGCGCTCCCCGCAAGCCTCTGCCCCACATTAGCCTCCGGCCACAGTCCCTCCGAAGCAGTTCTGGGCGCTGCAGTGCCCTCCTGCCCGGGACCTGGACGGCCCTGCCACACCACATGCCACACCACATGGCGCGTCCATACACTCAGGGGCCTCCCCATCCGGCTTGTGGCAAGAGTTTTCTAAAGGGGCTCCTGGCCACCCCTCACAGCCAGCCTTACCCACAAGCTGCCAACGCCACAGCCCTGCCCCCTCCAGGGGGCCCAGCCCCACTCTCCCCCGTGCCTCCTGCCCCAGGGAGCAGGTGAGGTACCCGCACGCCCCAGGCTGACGCGGCCCCCGGGGCAGAGCAGCGCAGACATCTGCTCTGAAGCTGCGCAGGGGCCGACACGGGGCACCCCGCGACTCGGTGCCACTGCCTCTTTGGCAAACACTGGGACTGTCTCAGCTCGAGCCCAAGGCAGCCTCAGACCGGCTCACAGGGACCAAACGCGGATCCAGCAGGCCAAGGGAGCCGTCCAGAGGGCCGCCCGGAGGGCAAGCGCAGCTCCCCCACAGCCCTAGGGCGCACACAACACAGACCCCCCCACGCACGTGTCCTGATGAGTGGGGCACGTTGCCCTGCAGGTGGAACTCTCCACGAGGCCGCTGCTTAGAAGAGCCGCAGATGCAGCTGACCGTCCTAACACCGAAAGAGAGATAAAATGAGACCGAGGAACGCGTCCCAGGTGAGACGGGTAAGTAATGTGCTGACAGCATTTCAAGGTAATCACTGGACTTCAGAGCGGAAGATCTCCGTGAGACCCTTAGAGACAGGAAAGATAAAAGAGAACCAATCAGAGGAGAAGAACAAATTAAAAATACACGAGAGGGAATAAAGAGTAGACAAGGAAGCAGAAAAATGGATCCATGACCTGGAGGATAGAGGAACAGAAAGTAATCAAGCTGAACAGAAAGAACAAAGATTAATAAATGATGAAAACAGATCAAGCATGATAACTGACATTAAAGGAATCCCAGATGTGAGGAGAAAAGGGGGGCAGAAAATTTCCTTAATAGCTGAAAATCTCAATCTGGAAAAGGAAACAGGACTCCAAATCTAGAGGCAGAGAGAGTCCTCAATAAAGTCAACCCAAAGGAGGTCTGCACCAGCACACACGGTAATCAGGAACGCCTGGGTGGCTTAGTCAGTTAAGCCTCGGCCTTCAGCTCTGGTCATGATCTTAGGGTCCTAGGATGGAGTCCTGAAGTGGGCTTCCTGCTCAATGGGGAGCCTGCTTTTCCCTTTACCCTTCCCCCTGGCTCATGCTCCTTCTCCCTCTCTCAAATAAATAAATAAAATAGTTAATTAAAATCTCTGGGGGATAAAAAGACACATAGTAATTAAAATGGCAAAAATTCACAAAGAGAAACTTTTAAAAGCAGCAAAAGGAAAACCATTACATACAAAGAAAAACCCCATAAGGGTTTTCACGATAAACTACACAGGCCAAAAGGGAGTAGCGAGTTATATTCAAAATGCTTAAAGAAAACAACCTGCCACCCAAAATATTCTATGCAGAAATGCTATCACTCAGGATGGGAGGAGAGGAAGAGCTGCTGAGACAAACAAAAATTACAGGAACTCGCCACTAAACCAGCCTTAGGAGAAACGGTAGAGGGGACTCTTGATTGGGAAGGGAAGACCGTACTCAGAAATAAGGACAGTGGGGAGGACACGAGCAGAAAAATCAAGTGTATCTGTAAAAGTCAACCAAGGAATCCACAAAACAGAAGGATGTGAAATATGAAACCACATACCAAAACCGCGGAGGGGGAGGAGTAAAGAAAGCGTTTAAACATCAGCAGCATCGACTTAACCCAGACTGCCGGGTGTGGATACTATGCACAAGCCTAATGATAACCACAGATCAAAACGGTGAATTGCAAAAAAAACCCGAAGGAATCCAAGTAATCTTACTGAAGAAACTCAACACACCATGAGCAAAGAAAGCAAGAGAGCGTGAGGCCGACGGAAACTCCCGGCTCCAGGCCCTTTCTGTCCCTGGCTCCCCTTTGCTCCAGCTGGGGCCAAGGAAAGACCAAATAGCCATCCCATTTGACTAAGATAACAAATCTTTGCTCCTGCTGAGATGAGAAAAAGACCACGTGCCCAGTCCTGTTTAAATAAGAAAGAGAAACAGCCCCCTAGGTGATTTAGCGCTCTCTTCACTTACCTCCCGTAGATTATACTTCCAAGTGAAAGGGCCATTTGGCCTTGAGAGACCTCAAAAACGCCATTACCATCCCCCATTGCCTGTAACCATAAAAACTCACCCCTAACCCTGTCAGGTGCTCAGTCTTTGGGAGCGATCCCACTGGGCCCGCTAGCGTTAATAAAGCTGTGTTCTCCCATCTCTCCCGTGTGCCTGAGTTTCCTCAGTCACCTGGGATTTTCCGCAACAAGCAGAAAAGAACTTTAAAAAACATAAAAGAGTAACAAAATGGCTCTAGGCTCTGTGTACATACCTGTCAATAAATTTTTGACTGTAAAAGGAATAAATGCTCCAATCAAAACACAAATGATGGAATGGACAGAAAAGCAAGACCTGGCTCTATGCTGCCCACAAGAGACTTCAGCCCTAAGTCCCAGGCGGATGGGAAATGAGACAGAAAAGCAGTCATCGGGCAAATGGAAGTGAAAGGAAACGTGGGTAGCAACACTTCTATCAGACAGAATATACTTGAAAACGGAGACAAAGACATATTACATAATAGGAACAATCCAACAGTAAGACATACCATTTGTAAATATTTATGTATCCAACATGGGAGCACCTAGATGTATAAAATAGTTAATAACAAACATGAAAAAACTGTGAGTAATGCAGTAACAGCAGGGTACTTGAACACCCCGCGACATCCACGGACAGATCATCCAAACAGAACATCAACAAGGGAACAGTGGCTTTGGAGGGACACTCTGGACCAGACGGATCTAACAGATAGAATCAGAACATTTCATACTAACGCAGCACAATACACATTCTTTTGAAGTGCACACAGAACATTCTCTAGAATGGATCACATATTAGGCCACAAAACAAGTCTTACAAATTCAAAAAGACTGAAATCATTGTTTCAATAAATGCAGAAAAAATACTTGACAAAGTACAACATTCAGTCGTGATACAAACCCTCAAGAAGGTTTAGAGAGGATATACCTCAACCTAATAAAGGCCATATATGAAAAAACCAAAGCCAACATCAACAGTCAGTGGTGAAAACTAACTTTTCCCCTAATCAGGAACAAGACAGGAATTTCCACTCTCACCACTTTTATTCAACATAGTACTGGAAGTCCTTGCCACAGCAATCAGGACAGGGAAAGAAATCAAAGGCATCCAAATTGGTATGGAAGAGGGAAAACTATTTGCAGTGACATGATACTCTATAGAGAAAACTCTAGAGACCGCCAGGAACCTATGAGAACTAGTAAATGAATTCAGTAAGGTCACAAGATACAAAATCAGTACACAAAAGTCCACCGCATTTCTATACATACTTTTTTTTGTAAAAAAGTAGCAGAAGGAGAAATTAACGAAACAGTCCTATTTACCACTGCACCAAAAATAATGAAATCCTGGGAACAAACTTAACTAAAGAGGTGAAAGACCTGTACTCCGCAAACTACAAACCCTGGGTGACAGAAGCGGACAATGACCCAACCAGAAAGATACTCCTCCTCATATAGTGGAAGAAGAGTAACTGGTAAAATATCCTTACTATGCAAAGAAACCTACAGATTTGATGCAATCCCTATCTAAGTACCAACAGTATTTTTCACAGAACTAGAACAAATAGTCCTAAAATTTGTGTGGAACCGCAAAAGTTCCCGAATAGCCAAAGCGATCTTTAAAAAGAACAAAGCTGGAGGTGTTACAATCTCCGATTTCAAGCTCTACTCCACAGACGTAGTAACTAAGTAAGATACTGGCACAGAAATAAACACACACGTCACCAGAGCGGCTAGAGAGCCCAGAAATAAGCCCGTGATTTTATGGTCAATTAATTTTCGACAAAGTAGGTAGAACATGCAATGGGGAAAAGGCAGTCTATTCACAAGTGGTGCTGGGAGAACTGGACAGCCACACAGATGAAACTGCCACACTTTCTGACACCATACACAGAAACTGTAGACAAGAGCGCAGGCAGTAATGTGTCTGAAATCGTCCATAACATTTTTTTATATGTCCCCAGAGGCCAGGGAAACAAAAGCAAAAATAAACTATTGGGGCTTCATCAAAATAAAAAGCTTCTGCACAGTAAAGGATACAATCAGCAAAACTAAAAGAAAACCTACCGAATGGCAGAAGATATTTGCAAATGACATCCAAAACATATAAGGAACTTAACACCAACAAAATAAATAATCTAACTACAAACTGGGCAGAAGACACAAGCTGGCATTTCTCCGAAGACGACATACAGATGGCAAACAGAACCGTGAGACATGCTCAGCGTCACTCAGCGCCAGGGAAATGCAGATCCAAACTAGGAGATACCACCTCGCAGCGGTCTGAATGGCTACAACCAAAAACTCAAGAAACAAGTGTTGGTGAGGATATGGAAAAAAGTAACCTTTCTGCACTGGTGGTGGGAATACAAATTGGTACAGCCACTGTGGACAACAGTATGAAGTTTCCTCAAAAAATTAAAACCAGACCTACCCTACAATCCAGAAATCCCTCTACTGCGTATTTATCCAAAGAATATGAAAATGCTAATTCAAAAGGATATAGGCACCACTGTGTTTATAGCAACATCATAGTAGCCAAATTATGGAAGCAAAGTGTTCCTCCACAGATGAATGGATAAAGATATGGTATATTTCTACAGTGGCATATTACTTGGCCATAAAAAAGAATGAAATCTTGCCATCTGCAACAACATGGAAGGATCTCTAGATCAGTATGATGCTAAGTAAAATAATTCACAGAAAGACAAATACCATATGATTTCACTCACATGTGGAATTTAGAAAATAAAAAAGAAATAAAAAACAGACTCTTGGAGTGCCTGGGTGGCTTAGTTGGTCTAAACATCCGCCTTTGGCTCAGGTCATGATCCCAGGGTTTTGGGATCAAGCCCTGCACTGGGCTTCTTGCTCAGCGGGGTGTCTGCTTCTCCCTTTCTCCTTGCCCCTTTCCCCTCGCTCTGCTCATGCTCCCTGTTGCTCTCTCAAATAAATAAAACCTTACACAGGAGGCAAGAGATCCCCCCCAAAAGATCAACCTAAGGAAGTCCACACCAACACATAGTAATTAAAATGGCAAAAGGACATCATAAGGAGAGAATTTATTTTTTTTAAAGATTTATTTATTTGAGAGAGCATGACTGGGAGAGGGGCAGAGGGAGAGAGAGAAGCAGACTTCTAGCTAAGCGGGGAGCCCAGTGTGGGGCTCAATTCCAGGACCCTGAGATCATGACCTGAGCTGGCGGCAGAGATGCAGCTGACTGAGCCACCCAGCATGCACCTGTTTAATGAGAGTCCAAACTTTAACAACCCTGTGAGATGTTTCCACGTGATCTCCCCATTCCTCCCTCACGCTCCTGCTAAACAAACCCTACCCTTTAGCCATGCTGGTTGGCTTACTCTCCCTTGAATATACCAGCACAGGAAAAGGGATGCCAGTAGCCTGGGAAATGGTCTTCAGTTCATGTGGTCTCAAGTAACCTGGAGAAACGTGCTGGGATTATAACTGGTAGGCCTTTAGCTAGAGTCTCTAGAATATTGAGGAGGAGCTAAAAGGATATATAATTTTTAAAAAGCACTTGAAAATGACAAGGCTTGCTTCCTGAGGGCCCAAAGAGCATTCTCATCCCGATCCCACACACCATAGCAATGTTGCCTCCCTGCAGGGATGTGGGAAACCACAGCAGGCCACCACTCTGCCCAGATCACTGCTGGCATCTGACTCTGTGAGCCATCTTGGGCAGTTTCTAAGAATTTACGTACCTGAGACTGTCTCTTCAATAAATGGTGCTGGGAAATTGGACAGCTAAGTATAGAAGAATGAAACTTGACCATTCTCTCACACCATACACAAAGATAAACTTGAAATGGATGAAAGACCTCTATGTGAGGCAGGAATCTATCAAAATCCTAGAGGAGAACATAGGCAGTAACCTCTTTGACATCGGCCACAGCAACTTCTTTCAAGATATGTCTCCAAAGGCAAAGGAAACAAAAGCGAAAATGAACTTTTGGGACTTCATCAAGATCAAAAGCTTCTGCACAGCAAAGGAAACAGTCAACAGAACAAAGAGGCAACGCACGGAATGGGAGAAGATATTTGCAAATCACACTACAGACAAAGGGCCGATATCCAGGATCTATAAAGAACTCCTCAATCTCAACACAAAACAGGTAATGTCAAAAAATGGGCAGAAGACATGAACAGACACTTCTCCAATGAAGACATACAAAGGGCTATCAGACACATGAAAAAATGTTCATCATCACTAGCCATCAGGGAGATTCAAATCAGAACCACACTGAGATACCACCTTACACCAGTTAGAATGGCCAAAACCAACAAGACAGGAAACAACGTGTGTTGGAGAGAATGTGGGGAAAGGGCAACCCTCTTCCACTGTTGGTGGGAATGCAAGTTGGTGCAGCCTCTTTGGAAAAACAGTGTGGAGCTTCCTCAAGAAATTAAAAATAGAGCTTCCCTATGACCCTGCAATTGCACTACTGGGTATTTACCCCAAAGATACAGATGTACTGAAAAGAAGGGCCATCTGCACCCCAATGTGCATAGCACCAATGGCCACGGTCGCCAAACTGTGGAAAGAGTCGAGATGCCCTTCAACAGACAAATTGATCAAGAAGATATAGTCCATATACACTCTGGAGTATGATGCCTCCATCAGAAAGGATGAACACCCAACTTTTGCACCAACATGGACAGGACTGGAAGAGATTATGCTGAGTGAAATAAGTCAAGCAGAGAGAGTCAATTATCATATGGTTTCACTTACTTGTGGAGCATAGGGAATAACAAGGAGGACACTGGGAGAAGGAGAAGAGAAGTGAGTTGGGGGAAGTCGGAGGAGGAGATGAACTATAAGAGACTGTGGACTCTAAACAAACTGAGGGTTTTGGAGGGGTCGGGGGTGGGAGGTTGGGTGAGCCTGGTGGTGGGTGTTAAAGAGGGCACGGATTGCATGGAGCACTGGGTGAGGTGCATAATGAATCTCAGAACACTGAAAAAATTAAAAAAATAAAATCATTGAGGAAAAAAAAATAATTCACTTACATGAAAGAATCTCACATCCTATGACCGCTGTTATCTTTTGATCAATCATCCTCACCATTCTGACAACTGCCCACCTGCATTTATTCCCCCGTTCCTATCTCCAGTGAAAATGAAACTGCTTCCAGCAGATGAATGTCCTCCCAGGTAAGTGGTAGTGTCTACCCACTGTGGGGCTCCCTACTACCTCTCAACTTCTTCATGTAAACCATTCTGGGGCTTTTTTGTAATGCTGGCTTTTCGTAGCTGAGGAAATAATATAGAACCATCAACCATGGGGGCACCTGGGTGGCTCAATCATTAAACATCTGCCTTTGGCTCAGTTTGTGATCCCAGCGACCTGGGATCGAGCCCCACATCGGGCTCCCTGCTCAGCAGGAAGCCTGCTTTCCCTCTCCCACTCCCCCTACTTGTGTTCCCTCTCTCACTGTGTCTCTTGTCAAATAAATAAATAAAATCTTTTTTTAAAAAAGAAAGAAAAAGAACCGTTAGCCATGTAAGTAGGGAAATATCAAGGCCTATTTATGCTGTATGCTGTGGGTAAACACCACAAGCAATGTGAGCCCGATACATTCTCCTCTCCCTCTGATGACGTTATTACATGAACCATTTACTCTACACTTACTGTCAAAATACCAATATTCACAGATTATCACTTCTTGGGGGTTCTTCTGGCAGAGATCTGGAGGTTCACACTTCAAGGCGGTCACCCTGGGCAGGAGCTGGAGGCTCTGACTCTCCAAAGAGGCTCCTTGATACTCTGACACCAGTGGGTACATGTCCTGTCCCTGAGTACAGACACAAGCCTGAGGACAAAGGTTCACCTTGAAAAGGCATCCAGGTGGGAAGCAGACTGCACAGCACTTAGGGACATTTGCAGGGGCCAGAGGAGCCGCTGTCCTCTCCTAAAGCAGCCCCGAGTAAGACAGAGGAGCAACACAGGGACAGTCATCCGTGCGGTACACAAGGACTGCACACGCACCAGGACTCGGACTTTGTTCCACACGCGGAGCTTGTGGTGGCAGAGCAGAGGCAAGGCCCACCCAGAATCGCCGCCCAGGAAGGCAGGAGAACAAACGCAGATGGGTGTTTACGCTAGTGGGTGGGACTTTAATGAGGAACAGGGTATGTGCCGGATCTCAAACCTCTCCCAAGGGTTACTTACGAATTATAAGGGGGAGATGGTCACTTTACACTGCAGACATCTGACAGACCCCCCTTGGCCTCATCAGTAATGGGACAACCCATCACCTTATGCCTCCTGACGGGACGTGCCGAGGAGAACACGGAGCTTCTGGGGGTTCTGGCCTAAATGCACAAGTGGGATTCTATTTTGAGAAAAGTAAAGACAATCCCAGATTTATGAGCATCCTATAACGTAACTGGTTTGTCCTCTTCAAAAATATCAGTATCATGACAAAAGAAGACCAGGCAGCTATGCCAGGTTCAAGGAGACAAAAGGAAAGTGACCAAATGCAGCGTGTGAGGCTGGACTGTATCCTGGGAGCAGGATGAAAATGGCCAAAAACCACTCCTGGGAGGATACGGCAAAATGTGAACAAAGACTCCTCTGTAGATCATAGTACGTAACAATTTCAATTTTCTAAAACTTGATTTTTGTGTTCTGGTTACACAAGAGTGTGCTTGTGCTTCGGAAATCCGTATTGAACACTGAAGTGTTCCTACATAAACAAGTAAGGTGTCCCCGAGAACCCCGCTGGTTGAAGAAAACACAGCGTGAGTGTGTGTGTGTCATCCACACACTGTGCGTGCGCGGAGAGGATGGGGGCAGCTCCCGCACGCAAGGGGGCCCATCAGGATCCAGCGTTCACTGGTGAATCTGGGTGAAGAGGATACAGGAGTTCTGTGTGCTACCTTTCCAGATACTTCTGTCAGTTATAAATTATTTAAAAGTAGTAAGAGAAGCCTGAGAGGCTCAGTCAGTCAAACATCTGCCTTGGGCCCAGGTCATGATCGCCAGGGTCCTGGGATCAAGTGCCACATCAGGCTCCCTGCTCGCTCCCTCTGCCTCCTGCTCCCCCTGCTTGTGCTCACTATGACAAATAAAAAAAAATCTTAAAAAAAAAAAATTAAAAAGTTCAAAACTAACAGTCAGGTATTCACCAACCTGCTTTCCTGGGTCTCCAGTGTCTTTCTCCAGGTCCTCCAGCGCGGCCACCGCCTGCTCCGCGCTCTCGGGGCGGCGCTCCCGCACCCAGGCCTGCAGCTCCTCGGGCAGGATGGTCAGGAACTGCTCCAGCACCAGCAGCTCCACGATCTGCTCCTTGCTGTAGGTCTCCGGCCGCAGCCACTGGCGGCAGAGCTCCCGCAGCTGGCTCAGTGCCTCGCGGGGCCCCGGGGTCTCCTGGTAGCAGAACTGCCGGAAGCGCAGGCGGCAGAGCTCCTGAGCGCAGGGGCTGCTCTCCCGCGAGCCCCATGTCTGCTCCCAGGGGGAGTCCTCCTCCTTCACTTTCACAAGGCTGTCTCCGTTTTCAGGTGTGAGGCCTGGCAAAGCTTCATCCATGCTGGGCTTAAAGGAAAAGGTTCACTTAGCCCAGATCTACACTTTAAAAATGTTTTTCCACACCCGAGGTGTAAGAATGGATCAGTAACGCATTAACAAGAGCTTCAGAACTCCGGAAACATGTATTTTTGTCCCCACCGTTTAAGTCATGCTCAGAAACAGAGCCTGCTTGCCTGTGTTACCAGTGACCATCAGAAATCTATCTTGAACCTGAGCCAGCAGGTAAGGGACGTAAAGGACCGGAGGCAGGAAGAATGCTCCAGCAGTCTCTGCCTCAGCTGGAGAGAGGAGAGAATTGTATCCACAGCAGAGCCAAACCTACTCGTCTGTGTGCTTCCCACAGAATAGCCCACCTCAAATGCAGGGGAGATAGACTGTTTCCCAAGTCTCCTGACCCCTAGAATTTCTTAGGATGAGATTTTGTCACGCCTTTCCTCAGGAGGTGGAGTCTGTATCTTCTTCCCTTGAGTCTGTGCTGACCTAGGACTTGCTTTGGCCAAGAGAACATCACAAAAACGGCTTTGCAAGAGAAAGCACGTCGCAGCCCTTGGCATACCGCAGCAGGCCTGCTGCGCTCTGGGAAAGCCCGGACTGGCCAAGGACTGGACCCCAGAGGCCCCAGCTGAGGTTCCAGCAGTGCCCAGCTCCCAGCTGATCACAACCACAGGTAACCCCACCAGTAGAAATGGCCAGTCAGCCCACAGAATCATGAAAAATAATAAGTTGAGTACGTTTTAAGACACTGTTTGGGGTTTCAACTAATTTTTTAACATAAGAATAGGAAATTGAAACACATGCTTCAAGGTTTTTTTCTCTCTGTCCTCTCTCCTTTTATGATCTCATTAATCCCAATTTCAGCACATCTCTATTCCAAGAATACACAAGTCTTTGACTGACTCCAACTCACCTTTACGTTCCTGACGCACATCTTAAAATGCCAGTAGGATGCCTTCCAGATTCTCCTGGGTCATAAACTCAACACATCCCAAGCTGAAATCGGAGTCCGTCAAAGCTGCACTCACTGTTCTCCCCATTTCCACTGGCATCACCACCATCCCCGATGCGTTCCGGTTTAAAACCTGCCCCTTTCCATAAGCATTCTGAGTCCAGGGAATCCTCCAGAACACCTCTCACAGCCATTCCCTCCCTTTTATTCCCCATTACCACTGACATTCACGACTACAATAACATTCTGTGTGGTATCCCTGCCCCACAGCCTGCTCTATCATCACTGCATTAGTATTTCCTAAAGCACCATTCTGAATATGTTCAACACAACTCCCCCACCAAAACAGGGTTTCAACTCTTCCTCTGTGGACTGGATTCAAACTCCCCAGGATGTGACCTTCCGTGTTTTGTTTTGTTACTGGTTTGTCATTCAGTAAACCACCAAGCACGTTATTTTACAGGCACAATGCTAACCCCAAATTAAAAGACAGTCCCTATTCCCTAGAAACCCCAAAATAAAAGACACAGTCCCTACCCCCTTTGCAGACTCCTCACGTCACTGCCATGCTGACCTGCTCGACTTTTTCCCACCCGCTTTGTCCCTCATGGCCAGGACTGCCCTTATAGGAGGGCACATTTCCCAAGTACCAGTGCGAACGCCACCCTACACCTCATATCCGATGCAGGAAACCCCTCAGTCCTCAAGGATATTCTCTCCTCAAGGAGATCCTGGATCTCTGTCCAGGATATTCCCAGAAGAGCCAGCCAACCCGCCATCCAAATCCAGTCCCTCACCGGCTCCCACCACCCCACCCATACGAGGACAGAGGCTCCTTCCAACAGCCCTTGCGAGCCTGGCTCCTGCCCCCCACCCCAAGTCAAAGGCCCCATCCACACAGCCACAGCGAGCCTGGCCCCCACCCCAAGAAGTCAGAGGCTCCATTCACACAGCCCCAGTGAGTCCGGCTCCCGCCCACCGAGGTCAGAGGCCCCGTCCACAAGCCCCAGAGAGCCCGGCTCCCATCCCTCAATAACAGAGACCCCAGCCACACAGAATAGCGAGCCGGGCTCCCGTCCACCCCACCATCCCCTGAGGTCACAGGCTCCGTCCACACAGCCCCAGCGAGCCCGGCTCCCGCCACCCCAAGGTCAGAGGCCCTGAGCACACAGCCCCAGCAAGACCAGCTCCCGCCCACCGGGATCACAGCCATGTCCACAAGCCACAGTGAGCCCAGCTCCCATGCCTTGATGACTGAGGCCCTGTCCACACAACCCCAGCAAGCCTGGATCCCACCCCACCGAGGTCAGAGGCCCTGTCCACAGCCCCAGCAAGCCCGGCTCCCGCCCGTTCCACCCCCCAATGTCAGAGGTCCTGTCCACACAATCCCAGGGAGCCCAGCTCCCGGCCTGTCCCTAAAGTCAGGTTGAGTCCGGACAGCCCCAGGGAGCCTGGCTCCTGCCTTCCGAGGTGAGAAACCCTATCCACACAGCCCCAGGGAGCCTTGCTACCACCCCCAAGGTCAAAGGCCCCATCAACAAGCCCCAGCAAGCCCGGCTCCAAGCCCAGCCTCCACTCACCCAGGTCAGAGGCATGTCCACACAGCACCAGCAAGCCCGGCTCCCCCCACCCCACCCGAGGTCAGAGGCTCCGTATACATGCCCCAGTGAGCCCAGCTCCTGTCCCTTGATGACAGAGGCCCAGTCCACACAGCTCTAGCAAGCCCAGCTCCTGCCTCCCTGCAACCCCGAGGTCAGAGGCCCCGTCCACTCGCCCCCACTGATCCCAGCTCCCACCCATCAAGATCAGAGGCCTGTCCACACAGTCTCGGCAAGCCCAGCTACCGCCCACGGAGGTCAGAGGCCCTGTCCACACAGCTCCAGTGATCCCGAACCCCCACTCCCGGAGGTCACAGGCGCCGTCCACACAGCCCCAGCGGGCCGGGCTCCCACCCACCGAGGTCAAAAGCCCCATCCACACAGCCTCGGCAAATCTGGCTCCCACCCACCGAGGTCAGAGCCATGTCCACACAGCCTCCGCAAGCCCGGCTTCCCAAGGTCAGAGGCCCCGTCCACAAGCCCCATTAAGCCTGGCTTCCGTCCCTCGACAACAGAGTCCCCGTTCACACGGACCCAGGGAGCCTGGCTCCCACCTAACGATGTCAGAGGTCTCATCCACACATCCTCAAAGAGCCTGTCTCCTGTCAAGCAAAGACAAAGGCCCCATCCGCACATCCCCAGCGAGCCTGGCTCCCGCCCCTCCTGCCCCCCGAGATCAGAGGCTCCGTCCACACAGCCCCAGGGAGCCCGACTTCCACCTTCCGAGGTCAGAGCCCCATCCACACACCCCCAGGGAGCCCGGCTCCCACCTTCCAAGCTCAGTCGCCCGGTCCACACAGCCGTAGCAAGCATGACTCCAGTCCCTGAGGTCAGAGGCCCCAGGGAGGCCGGTTCTCGTGTTCCCAGGTCAGAGGTCCCATCCATACAGCCCCTGAGAGTAAGACTCCCACTCCCCCCCACCCCGCCCCAGAACTCAAAGATTCCATCACCACAGCCACAGCGAGTGCAGCTCCCACCTTCCCAAGTCAGAGGCCCTGTCCAAACAGCCCCAGCAAGCCTGGCTCCTGCCCACCGAGGTCATAGGCGCGGTCCACACAGATCCAGTGAGCCCGGCCCCCATCCCTGGATGTCAGAGGTTCCGTCCACACAGCCCCAGGAAGCCCGGCTCCTGGACGGGCTGTCACCGGACGACAAAAACCCGGTCCACACAGCCCCAGCGAGTGCAGCTCCCGCCCTCTGAGGTCAGAGGCCCCGTTCACACTGCCCCGGGGAGCCAGGCTCCCACCTTCCGAGGTCAAATGCCCCATCCACACAGCCCAGTAAGCCCAGCTCCGGCCCACTGAGGTCAGAAGCCCTGCCCGAACAGCCAAGTGAGCCCAGTTCCTGCCCACCAAGGTCAGATGCCCCATCCACACAGCCCCAGGGAGCCCGGCCCCTGCCCCCAAAGTCAGAGGCCCTGTCCGCACAGCCCCAGTGAGTGGCTCCCACCTTCTGAAGTCAGAGACCACATCCACACAGCCCTAGCAAGCCTGGCTCTCGCTGCCCCGCCGGGTCAGAGGCCCCGTCCACAAGCCCCAGAGAGCCGGGTTCCCATCACCTGACGACAGAGCCCTATCCCCACAGCCACAGCGAGCCGGCTCCTGCCCTCCCTCCCTCAAGTTCAGTGGTTCTGTCCACACAGCCCCAGGAAGCCCAGCTCCTGCTTTCCCGGGTCAGAGGCTCCATCCACACAGGCCCAGAGAGCCTGGCTCCTGACTCCCCAGAGCTCAAAGACCCCATCCACAACCCCCCCACACACACCGAGCCCAGCTCCAGCCCTCCGAGGTCAGACGCCCAGTGCACACAGCCCCCAGCAAGCCTGGCTCCTGCCCACCAAGGTCCGAGGTACCGTCCACAAAGGCCAGGAGCCCAGCTCCCATTACCCAACGACAGAGGCCCCATCCACACAGCTCCAGCGAGCCCAGCCCCCGGCCCCAGAGGTCAGAGGTTCTGTCCATACGGCCCCAGCGAACCTGGCTTCCCTCACCTGACGACAGAGGCCCTATCCATACAGTCCTAGCGAGCCTGACTCCCGCCCCTCCCGCCCCCCGAAGTCAGAGGCTCCATCCACACAGACCAAGGGAGCCTGGCTTCCGCCTTCCGCGGCAGAGGCCCCGTCCACAAGCCCCAGCGAGCTCGGCTCCCGACCCTTAACGACAGAGGCTTTGCCCACACAGCCCTTGCGAGCCCGGCTCCTGCACCCTCCCCGCCCCCAGAGGTCAGAGGCCCCGTCCACACAGCCCTAGGGAGCGCATCTCCCATCTTCCGACATCAGAGCGCCGTCCACAGCCCCAGCGAGCCCGGCTCCCGCCTTCCGAGGTCAGAAGCCCTGAGCCCCACCACAGCCAGCGTGACTCCCGACCCCAAGATAAGAAGCCTCGTCCACACAGCCCCAGGGAGCCCGGCTCCCGCCCACCGAGGTCTGAGCCACGTCCACACAGCCCCAGCGAGCACGACTCCCGCCAACCAAGGTCGGAGGCCCCGAACACACAGCCCCGGCGAGCACAGCTCGTGTCACCCGACAACAAAGGCTCCGTCCACACAGCCCCAGTGAGCCCGGCTCCCGCCCCCACCCCCAGGTCAGGGCTCCGTCCACACACAATTTAAAAACAACAGCGAGCCCGGCTCCCATCACCCGACGACAAAGTCCCTGACCACAGAACCCCAGGGAACCCGGCTTTCCTCACCGAAGAGAGAGGCCCCGTCCACACAGCCCCAGCGATCCCGGCTCCCGCCTCCCGCGCGAGGTCCGAGGTCCGAGGTCCCGTCCACACAGCGCCAGCGAGCCCGGCTCCCGCCCCCCGCCCGAGGTCCGAGGTTTCGCCCACAAGCCCCGCGAGCCCGGCTCTCACCTGGCGTCCGGGCAGCACGGCGGTCGGAAGCGGCTGGCAGGGCACCTGCGGCGTCCGGGGCACCCCGGGGGCACCAGGCGGGCGCGCAATACCTGCGGGTCCGACTGCTGGTCAGCGGACCAAAAGCTCAAGAAACACGTTCAGCAAAGACGCGGCGGCCCCGCCACACGCTCCGGGGGGCTGAGCGCGAAGGTTCCAAAGCGTCTCCTTCCGCCGCTCGCGCAGCCGAGTAGCGGCTTTGCTAGGAACGCGGTCCCGGCCTCTCTAGGATTGCGGCCGCCCTTCTCTCTAGTGCGCCCGGAGGACCCCCGCCGCCGTCCCGCGCACGCGCGTCCGAAGGACTCGAGCTTGCCCCTCAGCTCTGTAAACCCTTTCAATTAAAAACAAGATTGGGGGGCTCAGTCGGTTGACCGTCTGCCTTTGGCTCAGGTCATGAACCCAGGGTCCTCAGACCGAGCCCCGCATCCGGCTCCCTACTCAGCGGGGTGTCTGCTTCTCCCTCTGCCTCTGCCGCTCCCCCTGCTTGTGCTCTTTCTCTGTCAAATTAATTTAAAAACAAGAACAAAACCCCTACAAGATGGCAAAGGCAAACCCGAGTCTCTCTTTTTAGGATACTCTCAGGTTGCTGGTTAGATGAGTGAACAATTACAATCTAGCAAGCAGCACAAATTCTTAAAATTTAAATATGCGGATTATACATGCCCAATAAAAATTAAAATTGCACAGAAACTATAAAATGAAAAGTACCCCATCCCCAAAGCTAACCATTGTTAATGGTTATTGGTTAATGGTATTCTGTGTATATTTTCCCAGGACACTACCAGTCACATAGTAGCATTTAATAAACATTCGTTTAGTAAATATGTAAGCTATTTAAACACTTATGGGTTCACATGAATTTGCTCCTTAGCCTTTTCCGTTAAGATAGTTTGGATCTTTCCATATCAGCTTCTTTTTTAACAGCCTAATAGTTTCCATTGTATGGATGCACCCCAATTTACCTAACTGTCCCTATTGTTGTATAGTACGTGTGTATATATGTGTCTGTGTATATGTGCATACAGTAACGCTGCAGAGAACATTTAATATCTTCATGTATTTTTATAATTCCAGCTTAAATACTACATACTGGAATTGATCTGTCAAAGAGCATGTGCATTTAAAAAAATTTTTTTTTAAGATTTTATTTGCCAGAGAGAGAGAGAGAGAGAGAGAGAGAGAGCGCGCGCGCACAGGCAGGCTGAGTGGCAGCAGAGGCAGAGGGAGAAGCAGGCTCCCCGCCGAGCAAGGAGCCCGATGTGGGACTCGATCCCAGGACGCTGGGATCATGACCTGAGCCGAAGGCAGCTGCTTAACCAACTGAGCCACCCAGGCATCCCTGCATTTAAAATTTTATATACAGCTTCCCTATTAATTTTTAAGGGTACTGCTGTTTAAAAGTAAAAGAAAAATCTAACTGAAAAAATCCAGAAAAATGTGAGCATGGCTGTTCACAAAATTAGAATTATAAATGACCAATTCACATGCAAGTAGATGTTCAACTTTGATAGCAAAAGTATGCTTTTATTTATTTTTTCAAGATCCCACTCATTTGAGAGAGAGAGAGCAGGAGCAGAGAAAGGAGCAGAGGGAGAGGGACAGACTCCCTGCTGAGCAGAGCACCAGACATGGAGCTCAATCCTAGGACCCTGGGAGCATGACCTGACCCAAAGGCAGACACTTAACCGACTGAGCCACCTAGAAGCCCCATAAGTATTATTTTAAAACTGCTTTAAAAAAGGACTCCTCTCATATGCACCAGATTGTCAAATTTGCAAAAGAATAATTTCCATGTTTGATATGGTTATGGAAAAATGGGCATTTTCACAGACTGCTAACAGAAGGCACAGATTAGGATAACCTTTCTGGAGGGCAATTTGGCAAGTGAATCCAAAGCCTTAGAAAATGTGCCTACCCCATAGTCCCATTCATTCTAGTTTTAGGAAATGAGTGAAGGAAAAGAGTTCTACAAAGTGAGCAAAGCTTATGTCCGAGGATGTTCACTGGAATGTTTGTGGTGACAGACTATAAACGACTAACAATGGGAAAATATACCATAGAATCATCTCTGGGACGCCTGGGTGGCTCAGTCAGTTAAGCAGCTGTCTTCGGCCCAGGTCATCTCAGGGTCCTCAGATCGAGCTCTACATCTGCTCCCTGCTCAGCCCGCAATCTGCTTCTCCCCCTCCCGCTGCTTGTACTATTTTCCGCGCTCGCTCTGATCAATAAAATCTTTAAAAATTTTTTTAAATTAAATGATCTTTCATGAAAACTTTTAGTTATCTGAGTGTCTTGATCGGGAACTTTTTTTTTTTTTAATTGTTAGCAAGGTTCAGAAACCCAATCAAATGGACTTAAAAGAAATCTTTAGCAGAAGCAAACAAGGGTATTCCTTGGACTCCCGGGACCAGCTGGGAGTGTGGCCGACCTCAGGAGCAGGGCCGGAGTCGCTTCTCCTGAGTCTCTCTGGGCCTTCATGGGTTCCAGCTTCAGGACTCGCTGCCTTCATTACTTCTCACCGGGCTACTTTGTTTCCGTTTGGTTTTTATGTGACAACAAAAATGGTTCCAGCTCTAGATTAGTTTCTTGTTCAAATGTTTAACACAGACCAACCAGAGTCTGTGACCCAGTATCAACCGTGTAGGGGTATCCAGATGACCAAGCCCGGCTTAGGGGTTCCTCACCCGAGTCCAATCCTCAGTGGTCAGAGAAGGGTCACATGGCAACTGCCCACCCAGATCATGGCAGAACTGGTCTAAAATGGACTGAGCAGATAGGCAAATGGACTGTCCTTCTCTTTTACAAGTCAAAACTGTTCATGAAATCCAGTAGAAAAGTAAAGTGTTTTTATGCATAAAAAAGATCAGTATCTCAAAATACATTATTAAGGGATTCTATCTGGACCACGAAGTAGAATGATTTGCTTTCTTTACATTTTTCAAGGTTTTTACAAAATATATGAATTTCTATCATAAACAAGAGCTAATTTGTTAAGAATTTATGAAGATAAAACATGGACAATTATGTGTAAAATTAAGCAGAAATTATCAGTACTTACTAACCACCATTTGAGAGAGAGAGAGCGTGTGTGTGCGTGCATTAAACAGTGATTATTTCTGACAGGTGAAAATTTAGGGTGCTTTATTTTTCTGTTTTTCCATACTATATTATAATGGCACACTTACTAATAACTTTACGTTTTTTAAACAGAAAGTGAGCAGGAAATGAAGACACACAAGGACCATCTTTCCTGAACATTACAGGATACTATCCCAACAGAAAAGCCGATCAGTAGGATACCTTGTGACACAGATCATCCCTCCTGGTTGCTACCCTCTCAACAGACTTTCGGCTTTCCTTCTAGAGCATCTAACATGGGTTGCATCACAAGCAAAACCTTCATCAAGATCTGCTATAACATTCTGCCCTTTGCTCAATGTTCCTATAACCTTCAAGAATACAGAAGAAAGCATGTTATTAAAATATACCCGTATCCAGGGGCACCTGCTCTTGATTTCAGCTCAGCTCATGATCTCCGGGTCCTGGGTGTGGAGCCTGCTTGAGATTCTCTTGCCCCCCTCCTTCTTCCCCTCCCCGTCCCCATGCTCACATTCAAAAAAAATTAAAAAATAAAATATACCTGTTTCCAACACTTACGTTCAAGTGGCTATGGGTATGCCCCCAGGGTACTGACGAGAACACCACTGACTTTGGGACTGTGTGAGGGATTAGGTTGGTTAAGGTGTCCATGAATTTAGAACACTTACAATGCATGTACTACAGAATCATCATAAAGAAAGCTAAATTTTTCAGATATTTAAGAATATATCACTCTCGGGAGCCTGGGTGACTCAGTTGGTTAAGCAACTGCCTTCGGCTCAGGTCATGATCCCGGAGTCCCAGGATCAAGTCCCACATCGTGCTCCCTGCTCCACAGGAAGTCTGCTTCTCCCTCTAACCTTCTCCCCTCTTATGCTCTCTCTCTCACTCTCTCAAATAAGTAAATAAAATCTTAAAAAAAAAGAGTGTATGACTCTCATACTTTAACTCTTGTCACTGTCATTGCTTTTTTCATGAGAAAAATAAAGACATTCTTTGTTCTTTATTCTCTGTTCCCTTCTTAAAAGGAACAGAATCAAACAGATTTGAACCATGATACAGAGCTGAGTGCTTAGGTACTGACCTCAGCACAGCTGTCAAAACACTTGGGGAGAAAATCCCTGATATCCACTTAATTTTACCCATCAAGGCAGAATGAAAGACAGCTTTACGACTTCCTAAGAAATCGAACATTACTGTTTCCATGGATTCTTCAAAATTGCCTCAAAAAGTTGCCCTGCTTCTCCCACATATTTGGTCCTCCTCCAGGAAATGGCATTAACGGTGGCAGCCGGTCAGACTACACGCAGCCAGATGCAGATGGGAAGTGGGTCAAGACTGCAAAGTACCTGTTCCAGCCTTCATGTTTCCCCTTCTTCTTGGTGACAGAACCTTAGTTTCTGGCTGGGCACACCACAAACCACAAGACACTCTCCAGACCCCCTTTCCCAAGTTTTATTCTGCAGCATATGTGCTGAACTGACTTCTGGGAGGCTGTGCACGGAGAGCTGGCTGAACTGCGAGGAATTTTTTTCCTTCTGTCTCTGTCTGCATTTTGCATGTGATGGCTGGAGCTTCGGCAGCCACCAAGGATCATGTGACAACCTCAGGACTGGTGGTGCGCACTAGGAGGTTAACAGAAAAGCAGAGGCATGGTCCCTAGTGGTGTCGTGGAACCACTTTATCAGTCCTGGACTGCTTGTCACTGGATTTTTCTGAGAGAAAAACTAGCTTTTGTGAAGTCACTCCTCCCTTGTTTCTAAACTATATGCAGCTGAACCAAATCCTCAGCAATACCCGAGGGTTCATTCCCAAAGGAGACTGTGACACTTTTTCCAGACACAATACCCTATACAGCTACTGGCAATCAGCAAGCAATGACGGTTCAAGGGCGGACTTCCCCTAAGCTCAATGTTCTTCATCATTACCATGACACTTTGGTATTCACAGTATAAAAATCATGATCTCCTCCTAGCTGACTTTATTATTTGACTTCCAAAGAATTCCAGAACAAGCAACTAAAAATCATATTATCAGGGGTGCCTGGGTGGCTCAGTGGGTTAAAGCCTCTGCCTTTGATTCAGGTCATGATCTCAGGGTCCTGGGATCGAGCCCCACATCGGACTCTCTGCTCAGCAGGGAGCCTGCTTCCTCCTCTCTCTCTGCCGGCTTCTCTGCCTACTTGTGATCTCTGTCAAATAAACAAATAAAAAATCTTTAAAAAAAAAATCATATTATCAGGGGCATCTGGGTGGCACAGTCGGTTATGCATCTGACTCTTGATTTTGGTTCAGGTCATGATCGCAGGGTCCTAGGATCAAGCCCAGTGTTGGGCCCTGTGCTCAACAGAGAATCTGCTCTCTCCCTTTCCCTTTGCCCTCCCCCCAACTCATGCTCTCTCTCTCTCTCTCAAATAAATAAAATCTTTAAAAAATAAATAAAAAATAAAATTGCATTATCAGCCTTAATGGAAAAAAGTCTAATCTCTTTCCCCACTTACTAAACAGTCTGTGCAGAAGCCACTAACCTGGCACTGGAGTTACTGAGCGAGACAGCTGCTGCTTGATTTAACTCAGCACTACTCGTTCAAATGACTTATGAAATCTCTTCCACACTTTAAATAAAATCTTGATTTCTAACTCGAATCAGTGAAGTATTGTGACAAGAATGGGGTGGGAAGTGGTCGAATTAAATTTTCTTTGCTTTCTAAAATGCTTCTGCTGACTGGGGTGGGGGAAGGTGGGGGGATGCCCGCAGGGGTGGTTAGTAAAGCCAGTGGGGGAAAATGCCAACCTTAACCTGCACTTTTTTTTTTTTAAAGATTTTATTTATTTATTTGACAGACAGAGATCACAAGTAGGCAGAGAGGCAGGCAGAGAGAGAGAGGAAGGGAAGCAGGCTCCCTGCTGAGCAGAGAGCCCGATGCGGGGCTCGATCCCAGGACCCTGGGATCACGACCCGAGCCGAAGGCAGCGGCTTTAACCCACTGAGCCACTCAGGCGCCCCCTTAACCTGCACTTTAAGATCCCTTTGAGAGTGGGATATTTCCAAACATCTTTAGTTTTACTTTATAGCTGTTGCTGTAGCAGATGCAAACGTATCGACCTGTTCTTGCTCCGTTCAAGCCTATAAATCCATAGGTACTTGGCTGACTCACTGCTGACTTCAAAGTCCTCACCCATCATGAGGGTCTCTACTACTTGGAGGTCTGCAATCATACATTTACCAAGTTAAAGGCTCAGAGAAGTCCCGCAGTGAAGAATGCTGTTCTGCTTGTTCCCATAGTCCCATTGAGGGTCAATTAATTGTGCTCCGCAGCTGAGCACACGTGAAGGGGCAGAGCCTCCTGCTTGGCCCCTGGAGTTCTCGGAGGCTCGAACCGGCTGGAGTGACTCTTCCTAAAGTGCTGCTTGCTTGTCAACATACTGTCCCTGATGTTCCTGCAGAGAGGATGCCCCATCAAGGTGGACTGTGTTTGTGGTGATATCTTTGATGCTGAAAAAGCCCCGACCTCTGCCTGAAGGCTTCGCCACACTCACTACACTTATAGGGTTTTTCTTCATTGTGGATTCTCACGTGCTGGGCCAGGTGGGAGTTCAGTCGGAAGGCTTTCTGGCATATGGCACACTTAAAAGGCTTTTCTCCGGTGTGAATCCTGTGATGGCGGATGAGGTCTGAGGTCAAACCGAAGGCTTTCCCGCACTCGTTACAGCGATGGCTTCTGGAGTGGCTGTGGATTCTCTGGTGGTGCGTGAGGAAAAGGGCCTGACTGAAGGTCTTCCCACACTCCTTGCACTCACAGGGCTCCTCCTGGCTGTGAATTCTCTGGTGTCGGTTGAGGTGGGAGCTGCGCCTGAAGTTCTTCCCACAATGGATGCACAGGTAAGGTTTCTCTCCAGTATGGATCCTGAGGTGTTCCAAAAGGCCTGCATTCTGGCTAAAGACCTTTCCACACTCTTTGCACTGATAAGGCTTCTCGCCAAGATGGATTTTCTGGTGTCTGACAAGGTGTGAACTTCTCTGAAAGGCTTTCCCACACTCGTGACACTGATGACCCTTCTCTCTCGAGCAGACTTTCTGATGTACCACAGGCCTGGGACTCTGACAAGCCTCAGAGCCACAGAGCTTTCCTTCTGCGTGCGTCCCTTCGTGTCTAATCAGGTCTGAGCTCTGGGTGAAGCCCTCCCCACATTCTGAGCATTTACACTCAGTCTTCTCCGTGGGCCTGACCTGCTGCTGTTCCAAGTTCGGGTCCTTAGGACCAGGTTCTACAGGTTCAGACACTTTCCCAGATGATTCCGCTCCTCCATGAGAGTCTGTCTGTACAACCATCTTCCCATTCTCAGTCTTTGTCCCCTCACCTGAAACATGAAATATATACCACCAATTACTTGTTTTTTGATGCTTAGGGAAGGGAATCTGCATTTAGGAGGAATAAATTTAAATCAAGCCGTGTGTGCCAAGTGGAAATGCTGTGGAAGCACAGAACAGATACGCAGTGGCCCACAAGAAACTGTGAGCAGTGGTTGCTCGGGAGAGGACGGCGACCGTATGAGGAGGTGGCTTATCTTAAACGGTTTGAACTTGATCATATGACATACACACAGCACACAAAGTTAGTAAGCAAGCACAGTCTCAAAGGGCATGGCTGTACATTCTTTTTTTTTTTTTTAAAGATTTTATTTATTATTTACTTGACAGAGAGATCACCGGTAGGCAGAGAGGCAGGCAGAGAGAGAGGAGGAAGCAGGCTCCCTGCCAAGCAGAGAGCACGATGCGGTACTCGATCCCAGGACCCTGAGATCATGACCTGAGCTGAAGGCAGAGGCTTAACCCACTGAGCCAACCAGACGCCCCAATGGCTGTACATTCTTGAAAACGGTTTTGGGGCACCTGGGTGGCTCAGTGGGTTAAGCCTTTGCCTTTGGCTCAGGTCACGATCTCAGGGTCCTGGGATCGAGCCCCGCATCAGGCTCTCTGTTCAGTGGGGAGCCTGCTTCCTACTCTCTCTGCCTACTTGTGATCTCTCTTTCTCTGTCAAATAAATAAATAAAATCTTAAAAAAAAAAAAAAAGAAAGAAAATGGTTTGTCAGCTGGAGGTCAACTGAGGGCCCTGGGGCCAGTAAGAAGGTGCTGGAAATGAAGAAATGCAGACACAGAGCCCATTTCATCACTGATTAGCTGTGTCATCTGAACCCTCTGGGCTCGGCGTCCTCACCCATAGATCAAAACCACTGGACCACAAGACCTTGAGATTAACATAAGTTCACAAAGATGTCTTGGACTTTCCTGATCTCTTTGGACAGCAGCAGCTGCCTTCCTGTGGGGCTCAACAGACACCGGGAATCTCGATGCCGTAACGGCTCACACGTCTGGTATGTGGAAGGCCACAAGCAACGTCTGACGAATAAAGCCAAAGCTCAGACACACAGGCACAGGTGGGGGAGTAGAAGGCCTTCCAAGGCCAGGAGCCTGAATGAGGAAGCAAAGCTGGAGTGAGAGGAGGTCCTCAGCAGCACCCACGACAAGCTAGTGAGAGTTCAAGAGTGTGAGCCCCGTGAAGGCAGCAGACCAACTGTAAAGGGAGAGCACATGAGAGCCAAAGCGAACAGTGGGGGACTCGCCAGGAGAGGCCAGAGACCGTGAGTCCCGTGCGGGGCACCTTGTGCACATCTTCCTGCAGCCGCCCACAGGGGTGGGAGGGGAGAGAGCCTTCTCCAGCGATGACCGAAAGACACAAACAACTAAAAAAAGGGGGCGGCTCTGAAACCCGAAAATGACTCGAACTTTGAGTGTAAAAGAGCATTTTCAACAGACCCAGAGGGCAAGGGACAGTGTCAAGGATCTCCTATGACCACATTTCCTTGTTATACTTAAAATATATGCTCATTATGGGGCGCCTGAGGAGCGATCAGTCAGTTAAGTGTCTGCCTTCTGCTCAGGTCATGATCTCAGGTCCTGGAATCAAGCCCCTTGTCGGGCTCCCTGCTCAGCGGGGACCTGCTTCCCCTGCTCCTCACCCCGCTCGTGCTCTGGTGCTTTCTCTCTCAAATATATAAAAATCTTAAAAAAAAAAAAATGTAAGGGACAGAAACAAGAAAGAGGGATTTAAGCGACAATGAAAATACCATACAGGAAGAAATGAATCTAGGTGACATTTAGAAACAAAAGACAGTAATAATACTACAGTAACTTGAAGGAGACAAGAAAAAATGAGGACTGGTGCACCTGGCTGGGGTTCTCTATCTTGGGTGAGACACTAGCAATCCTTTTCTAGTCACCCCTGTTGTAAAAGGGAGGAGGAGGAGATGAAGGACTGTATGGGAGAAGCTTTTGGTTTCAGCTGAACAGAAATGCCAAGGAAAGGACGGGGGGAAGCGTTTGGGCTGATGGGAATCGACCAGATCTGGACTGTGGTGATTAGACAACTGAGTTTTGTCATGTTTGTGAAAACTCACTGACCAGGACACTCACAGAGTTAATTCTGCCGAGTGTAGATTAGGCCTCAATAAACCCAACTCAAGACAAACACAAAAGCCGGGCCTCCGCAGGGGACGCCGAAGCGCGCCCGTCACATGAGGGAGGACGCCGCTGTTCCTTACCCTTCTCTTCTTCAGGCCCCGGAACGTCCCGCTCAGCCTGGACCTGTGGTTCCCGCACCGCTGCCACAGGGGCCGCCTCCTCTGCAAGCACCTTCTGCTTCTTTGCCTGGTCTGGGTCCTAGGGACAGTTATGTAGGGACAGTTAGGGACCTGAGGGCTTAGGAGGAAACTTTCAGAAACACTTCCCTGTGAGTAAAGAGTGAAGAGGAACCCGAGGGGGCATCAGCACGTTCAGTTCCTTGCAGCAGACAGTGGGAGAGGCTGACCTACGCTATGAGCTACCAGACTGGAAAGAAATGGAACCACAGCTCAGCAGTTCTCCTGCTGCTGAACTCACGCCCCCTGCTCTGGCCCAAGGTCTCAGGTCCTGCTTCTCTGCAAAAGAGCCCATTCGCTCCTTACCGCTCGCTGTCCTGCCTTCCCAAGCTCCAGCTGCAGGTGCTCCAGCATGACCACCACCTCGTCCCCACTCTCCGGGCGGCGCTCCCGCACCCGGGCCTGCAGCTCCTCGGGCAGGATGGTCAGGAACTGCTCCAGCACCAGCAGCTCCACGATCTGCTCCTTGCTGCGCGTCTCGGGCCGCAGCCAGCGTCGGCAGAGCTCCCGCAGCCGGCTCAGCGCCTCGCGGGGCCCTGTGGTCTCTTCATACCGCAACTGCCTGAACTGTTTGCACAGTGGCTCTTGTCCGAGGCCTGAGCTCTTTCCTGGTAGCCTGAACCCCTGTCCCCAAGTAGAGCAGCGATCCTCCTTCCCTGTCCGCGGCCCCTCCTTCTTCAGATTCAGAGGAGCTGGGGAGTGCGCATTCGCCAGTGCCATCGCCATCCCCAGCGTCAGCCTGCTTCCGCTCTGCCCCAGAAGCTTCCTTTTCACGGTCTCCTCCTGCCAATGTGAAAACAAGAATCACAGGGGCTCCTGGGTGTCTCACTATTAAGCATCTGCCTTCGGCTCAGGTCATGCACCAGGAGTCCTGGGACAGAACCCGGCATCAGGCTCGCTGCTTGGCAGGAAGCCTGCTTCTCCCTCCCCCACTCCCGCTCCCCCTACTTGTATTCCCTCTCTCGCTGTGTCTCTCTCTGGCAAATAAATAAATAAAATCTTAAAAACAAACAAACAGGGGCGCCTGGGTGGCTCAGTGGGTTAAAACCTCTGCCTTCGGCTCAGGTCATGATCCCGGGGTCCTGGGATCGAGCCCCACATCGGGCTCTCTGCTCAGTGGGGAGCCTGCTTCCTCCTCTCTCTCTGCCTGCCTCTCCACCTACTTGTGATCTCTGTCAAATAAATAAATAAAATCTTTAAAAAAACAAACAAACAAACAATCAAACAAGCAAACAAACAAGAATCACAGAAACAGGTGGCTCAATTGGTGCAGCATCTGCCCTCGGCTCAGGTCATGATCCAGGGTGCTGGGATCAAGCCCCGCATCAGGCTCCCTGCTCAGTGGGGTCGGCCTCTCCTTCGCCCTCTGCCCCCACCCCTGTTGTGCACCCCACCTCAAATAAATAAATAAATAAATAAATCTAAAAAAAAAAAGAAAAGAATCACAGGAGCAGCAGTGATAACAGTAACCACAACAGTAATACACCTTTGCTGTACTCACACAATTCCAATGATTAGTATTAATCCCTTTCTCTCAGAAACAACCCTTCCAGAAATGGAATATACACACAAAATGAGAAAACTCTGTTCTACACAAGATTGCCAGCTGACAGAGCAGGAATAACAAATCTGAAAATTCATGATTTTGCAGCTTGACAAAATAACGAATTGAATCAAGGACCACAAACGGGGGGACGCCTGGGTGGCTCAGTCAGTTAAGCCGCTGCCTTCGGCTCAGGTCATGATCCCAGAGTCCTGGGATCGAGTCCCACATCCCGCTCCCTGCTCAGCGGGGAGCCTGCTTCTCCCTCTGCCAGCCGCTCTGCCTGCTTGTGCTGTCTCTCTCTCCCTCTGACAAACAAATAAATAAATATAATCTTTAAAAAAAAAAAAAAAAGAAAAAGGACCACAAATGGGTGAAGTCACTGGGCAAAGGAGTGGGGGAAAAGCACATTCTCACAGTCTCAAAGAATCACCACATGACTGCTTATTAATGACGAAAGAAACAATGGAGACATCTGGCAGCCACCAACTTAATCAAATGCTCAAACCCAGCAACACCAACAGCCAGACAACCGACCTGTGCCTTCTCGCTGACGTATTTTTTTTTAAAGATTTTATTTATTTATTTGACAGAGAGATCACAAGCAGGCAGAGAGGCAGGCAGAGAGAGGAGGAAGCAGGCTCCCCGCTGAGCAGAGAGCCCGATGCGGGGCTCGATCCCAGGACCCTGAGACCATGACCCGAGCCGAAGGCAGCGGCTTAACCCACTGAGCCACCCAGGCGCCCCACGCTGACGTATTTTTAATGAATGTTTCACATGAATCTAATAACAAGGAGACTTTAAGATAAATCCTGAATGCAGCTCACCTACAAAAGTTGATTTCACAAAAATAAAAAGCGGTATTGTTCTAGATTAAACAGACACCTAAATGAATCATGAGAATTGGCTCTTGGGTTTTAAAAACACTATAAAACCTGGTTGGGCTCCAAATACAGCTTACTGTTACACCGTCCTGGACATGGTAGCTTTCAAATTATATATATATATATATATATATATATATATATATATATATATATATATATCGTCAAAAAATGGACTTAAAATTTAAAGTGTTAAATCTTACTGTTCTTAATAGAAATAAAAAAGTCAAAGGAAGTGATGATCATTAGCCAGAAATAAAAGTTTGGTATTGCAACAGTTAATTTTATGTGAAAACTTGAATGGATCATGGGGTGCCTAGATATTTGATCAAACACTATTCTGGGGGTTTCTGTGAGGGTGTTTGGGGATGAGAAGAACATTTATATCAGTGGACTGAGTAAAACAGACACCCTCTAAAATGTAGGTGGGCTTCGTCTAATCAGTCGAAGGTCACAATAGAACAAAAAGGCTGACTCTTCCCCAAGTAAGAGAATTCTCCCTGCTTGACCGCCTTCACACAGGCCACTGGCTTTTTTCTGGCCTCCAGACTCAAATGGAAACATCGGCTCTTCCTGGATCTCAAGCCTGCTGGCCTTCCTACTTCCTACAATAACTATGCCATTGGATTCCCCGGTTCTCAGGCCTTTGGACTCAGAACGGAACTAAACCATCGGCTCTCCTGGATCACCAGCTCACTGACTCACCCTACAGATCTTGGGGACTTGCCAGTCTCTGTAATTTCATAAGCCAATTCCTTATAATTAATCTGTCTCTATGTGTCTATGTCTATGTATTTCCTATTGGTTCTGCTTCTCTGGAGAACTCGAATACAGATATATAACACAGGTTGCTAACTTAGTGGTGGTCATTTCTATGACAGGATTAAACACACCAAACACAATATATAATAAATAGTACAATAAATGACCCTCCCAGCCTACTTTCATATCTTATGCATCAGATCATTCAAGATCTATTGATTCTGCCTAAAAAGCTCCCAAATCTATTCTCTCCTCTTGATCCCCCTTGCCACCATCTCCTCCGATCCAGACTACTGTGACTGATCTTTCTGACTCACCAATCTATTTCCCACACTGCAAACAGCGATATTTCTAAAGAGGAGAAAGGACTGTATCTCTGCTGTGCATTTACTGCATTACGTCATTTATCACTACCCTTAGTATCAAGTGAAAGACATTTAATATGGCTTAAAATTTTATGATCTGATGAACTTTCAGTTCCTCAAATTCACGATACTCTTTCCTCTTCCACATCACTCTTCAAGTCCCCAACTTTTTTTCTCATTAGTGCCCATATACCCTTCATGTCTCAGCATAATAAAACAATAAGGCAACACAACTGTTTTATGTACTTTGAGTATTAATGCATTTAATCTTCACACAACTGTATCAAGACACAGCTGTCGGGACGCCTGGGTGGCTCAGTAGGTTGAGCCGCTGCCTTCAGCTCAGGTCACGATTCCAGGGTCCTGGGATTGAGTTCCGCCCGCATCCAGCTCCTTGCTGGGCAGGGAGCCTGCTTCTCTCTCTGCCTTTGCCTGCTTGTGCGCTAGTGCGCACCCACACGCTCTCTCTAACAAATAAATAAAATCTTAAAAAAAAAAAAAAAAGACACAGGTGCCAACGTCACTGCACAGGGGATACTGAGACATGGAGCGTTTAATAACTTACACAAGATCCCAAAGCTCAACCTCAGATCTTTCCTCCAAGAGCTCTTAAACCCTTGGAATTAACTTTGCCTTCTCTCTCTCTCTCTCTCTCTCTCTCTCTCTCTCATAATCCACATCTGATCCAACAGCAACGCCTGCTGGCTCCACCTTCCAGGTAGACCATTAATCTGACAGCGACTAACCACGTCTACAGTAATACAAGTTCAAGGCATCCTCATCTCCTACTGAAGTACCGGTAATAGTTTCACTGATTCCTTTCTTGCGGCCCTAGGGTCTAACCTTATCGTGAGTTCCCAGCTATAGATGCTTTAAAACCTAAGTCAGAACATGTTTTCCCTCTGCTTAAAATCCTCCAAAAATTCTTCACACCCAGAAACGACCAAATGACTTACACAACACAACGCCCACTTCTACACACAACCTGTCTATACCCTCCTCTCCACACCCCGCCCCGCTCATTGCGTCGGGTCTACATCCCCGGTCTCCGCGCAGCACACCCCTCGAGAAAGCCAAGCAAGCTTGGAGGCCTTTGCACATGCTGCTCCCCTCGGCCTGAAAGCGCGTGCCCCCAAAGGCCACACAGGTCTTTTCACGTCCTTCAGGTTTCTGCTCAAGCACTACCTCTAAGGTTTACCTTCAACACGTGTTTAAAACTGCGTTCAATGGACGAAACAAGTGCTGCTTAAGTTGTGCCCCGGGAGCTAATCCGCAGCTTCAGGACGCCCCAGGCCCCCGCCCCCAGCCCCCCTCCCCGGCCTGCGGGCACTCTGTCGCAGAAGGCTCCTCTGCACCCAGGGAACAAGCTGCTTCCCAGCCCGGGGCTGCAAGACTTTCCCAGTCGCAGCGCAGTCACCACACACCCAGCACCCACCCGCAGGGGCAGCCGGTGGCGCTCCACCAAGGTCCGCGGTCCTCACCCTGCACCAAGGCCCACTCCCCCGCTCACCGTCGCCTCCGCTCTAGGAATGCGGGAGGACCACGGCTCGATTGTGTCCTGCTTCCGGCGCGCGGAAGGAGGGCGGAGTTCCGCCCACTCGCGGCGCGCAGGTGCGTGCGCAGGCGGTTCTCCACCGCGAAGTTTATTTTATTAGAGTGAAAACGGGCCAGTTCGGTTTCGTGTTACCGCGAAGAACTGGCTTTTCTACTTTGCTCATTCACAGATTAAATACAGACACATACTTTTCCATTTCTCCCCAATTTAAAAAGTCGTTAAACACAATGACAACACTGTCAATTTATTGCTTTTTAAAAATTTTTTCATAGTATCAAGAATTGAATATTAAATTGAACAATGAAACTATGTTTGGATTGAAAGATTTAAGGTAATGAAAATTAAGTATATTACTATAAAAATATAATCGGGGGCGCCTGGGTGGCTCAGTGGGTTAAGCCTCTGCCTTCGGCTCAGGTCATGATCCCGGAGTCCTGGGATCGAGCCTCGCATGGGCCTCTCTGCTCAGCAGGAAGCCTGCTTCCTCCTCTCTCTCTCTCTCTCTCTCTCTCTCGCTCTCTCTCTTCTCTGCCTGCCTCTCTGCCTACTTGTGATATCTCTCTCTGTGTCAAATAAATAAATAAAATCTTTTTTAAAAAAAAGTATAATCAGGGACGCCTGGGTGGCTCAGTTGGTTGGACGACTGCCTTCCGCTCAGGTCATGATCCTGGAGTCTCGGAATCGAGTCCCGCATCGGGCTCCCGGCTCCACGGGGAGTCTGCTTCTCTCTCTGACCTTCTCCTGGCTCATGCTCTCTCACTGTCTCTCTCTCAAATAAATAAATAAAATCTTTTTTAAAAAAAGTATAATCAGCCATACTTTACAGTGAATGTAGTTTTCAGGGGGAAAAAAGTGTCAAGATATCACTTTACCAAAATAATTCTACAGAAGAAAAGAGAAATATCCCCTCTTGTTCATCCTACCAAAAAGTGTTTTTTATGGTCTTTAAGTAAAATAAATCCTTTAAAAAAATCTAAGCAAACTAATGTTTAATTCGTTGAGAGTTTTGAAAAATCATTAAATATATGAATTGTTTTATGACAGGTAATTCATTCAGTGTTTTCAGCATTGGAATTATCACAACAAAAGAAAAAAACACGTTTCATTAGGACAAGGAGAGTTAACCTTTCTCCTTGGCTGCCAGAAGCTTGGAAGTATCTTTCAGAAGTAGCAATTAAATAAATTCACCTTAGAACTTCCTTAGGCAAACAAATGTAGTCAACGGAAATACTTTACTAATTAGAAGTTAACATTTTTTCTTGCACAGAAAACTCATATGTCTGATTTTTTCTTTCTAAAGAAGGGCTTATATATTTTTAAAAAAATTATGTGAAGGATAAATAAAATTTAAAAAGGAAATAAATATATCTTAATTTACTGCCCCTTTCAAACTCTCTACCATGGTTGGCTTCTTAAACATCACTCATAGTATCAAGGCTTAGATTATTGGCATTGTATTGAATAACCCATGAAAATCAAAATGTAGTTTACCAGAGTTTAAAAAAAAATCAAGGTCTGCATTTTTAATTTAAGTAGTCTGTATCTTTTGGAAGGGGTAGAGGTTGATGAGAATGAATAAAAATGCTATCTTATAGGACAGACTACATGTTGCTAACTTTATAAATCGATTTTCAAATTTGAGACTTTCATTTTCCAGGATTATCATTTTTATAAACAAAATGGTGGTTTGTATGTTTTCATCAGGTCCATTCTTAAGATATTCAAAATAAAAGCTTCCTTTTCTATAGGATCTGCTGAGGCACTATTGCATTACAAGTCATGCTACCATGTTATAGCATAAGATAGCAGTTCTTACCTTTTTGTTATGATACTTTCTGCTTTTCTCTCTGCTTCTGCACATTCAGCGAGATATTATTCATTATTCTGAATTTTAAATAGAAAATTATGTGACCAGTGATTGTTCTAAACAATAAAAAACCTACAAATGAGTCCAATAAACCTAACCCATAGTTTTATATTAGAAAAATCTATAGCTTTAAACCATCATATGAATAAACTAATAAAGAAAAACCCTAGGGGTGCCAGGGTGGCTCAGTTGGTTAAGCATCTGACTTAAAAAAAAAAAAGATTTTATTTATTTATCTTGACGGAGAAAGACACGGTGAGAGAGGGAACACTAGCAGAGGGAGTGAGAGAGGAAGAAGCAGGCTTCCCGCTGAGCAGGGAGCCCAATGTAGGGCTCCATCCCAGGACCCCAGGATCATGACATAAGACAAAGGCAGATGTGTAACGACTGAGTCATCCATGATCTGAACCAAAGGCAGATGTCTAACGACTGAGCCACCCTGGTGCCCCTAGCACCTGACTCTTGATTTCAGCTCAGGTCATGATCTCAGGGTCTTAAAATTGAGCCCCAAGTTTGGCCCTTCACCCAGCGGGGAGTCTGCTTAAGACTGTCTCTCCTATCCCTCTACCCCTCCTCAGACCCACTCACGCTCTCTCTTAAAAAAAAGAAAAAAGGAAATGCCTTTTTTCACCTATTAGATTGGCGAAGATCAAAAGGTTTAGGAGTACATATTGTTGGTTATCTAGGTGTGTAAACTGGTACATCTTATTTACAAAGCAATGTTGCAAAATCTACTAAAATGTAAAAGCACATAGAACATGTGACATTCTTAGACTTTTCCTGACCACCTTATCAAAAACATCCCCCTATTATTGTCTCTAGTCCCTTATTTTCTTCATAGCATGCTGCAATTAATACATATTTGTCTGGTATTTTTAAAGGTCTGTTTCCTCCAGTAGAATGTACAATTCTGTTGTGATTGCAAGGATCAAACTTCGCTTGCTCTCTGGCTTGTACCCAGTACCTGCCATAGTGCCTAGCATATAAAAAAAACCCAATAAATATTTTCCTTTTAATCCAAGAACTCCACTTCTAGGATGCCATTTTTAGACGATCCAAAGAATTCTTTTTGATCCGATAATTATATTTCTAGGTAAGAATGCCACAGTAATATTCTCACATATCCACAAAGATTTTCAATTCAGTACTGTGTAATTGTAAAATATAGGAAACATCTTAAACATCTAATAAAATATAGTCCTTTCATTCAATAGAATATTATAAAGTCATTAAAAAGAATAAGGTAGGGGCGCCTGGGTGGCTCAGTGGGTTAAAGCCTCTGCCTTCAGCTCAGGTCATGATCCCGGGATTCTGGGATCAAGCCCCGCATCGGGCTCTCTGCTCAGTGGGGAGCCTGCTTCCTCCTCTCTCTCTGCCTGCCTCTCTGCCTACTTGTGATTTCTGTCAAATAAATAAATAAAATCTTAAAAAAAAAGAATAAGGTAGATTTATATGCATTGATTAAAACATCTCCAAGATTAAGTGAAAAAAGCAAGATGTAAGTCCATGGGTGAAATGTGGTATGGTTCGTTTCTAAAGAAAGAAATATACATAATATACATAATAATAATAAAAGGTAACATTGGCTTTCACCAGTGCTCCCCAACAGTCAAGGTAGTGTGGTCCGGTGCCAATCAAGTCATCTACTAGGATGAAGATGCCCTTCCACATCACACTGTCCTGCAAGATTCTAGAACCCCACTCCTTCACCTTGGGTTCTGTGGGGCTTAGTAGGGTCTTGAGCCTTGAAAAGGGAGTCCCCTTTTCAAATGAGATAGTTTGCTTAGTGATAAAATGAAGTCTTGGATTCAGGCAGATGTCACTGGATGACAATGAAAGCTTTATCACAAACCATGAGTGGAGCTCACTCTAAAATCTTCTCTAATGCTGGAGCTAGCCAGGCTCTCAATGCTAACTTTGTTGTCCATGAGGTCCCTCCTGATCTGATCTTCTCATGAACTCCACCGACTTCATTCTTTATACCTTCTCATTTTTTCCCCTTTCTCCTCTTAGTCTAAGGTGGCACCTAATCTACTCTTTGGAAGACCCAAGCACAATGGACCTTCATCTTTTCTTTTTTAGATCTATTTTTATGGATAAACCCTATGTCCCCCTCAACAGGTATTCCCTTTTTAAAGGTTTTATTTATTTGACAGACAGAGATCACAAGTAGGCAGAGAGGCAGGCAGAGAGAGAGGAGGAAAGCAGGCTCCCCACTGAGCAGAGAGCCCAATGTGGGGCTCGATCCCAGGACCCTGGGATTATGACCCGAGCCGAAGGCAGAGGCTTAACCCACTGAGCCACCCAGGCACCCCAGGTATTCCCTTTCTAATAGTCAAAAGCAAGCTACAAGAAAATTGTGGCTTTCAGCACATGTACTGTTTTTTTAGAAATCACTCAAAACCATAGTGGGCATTTGTTGGTTACTTATACACCTTCCCAACATTACTCTGATTTTCATTCAGGTATCCTCTTCTTCCCCATGTAGCCTATAAATTGACTGTAACCACAGCTCCAGAAACAGGCCTATCTCTGTGGCAACAGTACCTTTTTTGAGAGTGGGCATGTGACCTGAGCTATTCCCATTAGGGTCAGTGTCAGGATTCTTGTTTGGAATGCCAAGACAGAAATGTTCTTTCACTCTTCAGAGGTGGACCAGGAAGAATATAACCAAACTCAGGACCTATGGCAACCCCTTTTGTTATTTAAGGAAACCAGGCGAAGGAGGGAAATGACCCATGGAAAAGAAAAAAGTCAAAGTCCCATAAAGGCATGCAGGACTTTTCAGTTACATGAACCAATAAATCTCCTTTATTTTTAGTTAACTCAGTCTGTTAACTGCAACCAGAAGTAGACACTCAGTTGAATTCTTTGTTCTTTCTGGGGTTCTTCTGGTCCTCCTAGGGGCAAACGAAGGGCTCCATGAAGCCCTTTGAGAGACAGAAGTCATGGTCAACAGGGAAAATAACCTTCAGGTTAATAGCTCCAACCTTGATCCTTCAACACGCTTGTATATACACAGAACTTATGAACAACAACAACAAAAAAGACATAAAGAAATATTTCTTTGGGGAGAAGAATCAGGGACTAGGATTAAAGACCTTTTATTAACTCTCCAACTGTAGTATTTGAATATTTGTTCAGCCATGTGCACATATTAAGTTAAAAATAACAAAGAGATCTCAAACAGCAGATTTTTCTTGAAGGACTTCCTAACATAGTAGATACAGTAGCACCATGAAGTCTTTTCACACTATTTTGGTCATATAAAACCGTTGTTAAAAGTGCTGCTGAACAACAGAAAGTCCTTACTTGTCATCTTTCCCTTTTGTCTTTCTGTACACCATCTCTCGGAAACTGGCTAGAATCTTATTCTCTCTCTTCCGTCTCTCTTCCTGGTTAAAGGATGCAAGGGCTCTCTTCTCGTCCGCACTGTAGATCTGGTTCTCTTTACGCAGCCGCACAGCCTCCATTCTGCGATGCCTGCTACCACTCATAACATAACCTGAACATTCAAACGAAGCGATCTCCTCACTTGTCAGCCCAATTTCACCTCTCCGTGGGATTCGCTTTCCAGCTTTTACATACTCAGCCATGGCTGCACCTTCACCTGGGAGCAGAGCGTGGCCGTAGTTCAAAGGTTTCTCATCTTGGGAGGTGTGTACTATAGGTGCTTCCGGACCTATCAGATCCATGGTATCCGCTGCCTTCGACTGCTCAATCCAGATACCTTCCGGCAACTCCCCTTCTGAATCTTTAAAGCTTGAGTCACTGGATTCCTTTTTAGTCTTCTTACTCTTCTTTTTCTTGGTTTTTTTCCCTCTGTGTTTCTTTTTCTTCTCCTTCTTCTTGGCCTTTTTGGCTCTCTTTCTATCAGTATCAGAGCTAGAATCAGTGTCGGAGTCTGAATTCCCGTTACTATGATCAGAATACTTCCTATGTTTCCTTTTGGACTTTTTCTTCCTTTTTTTCTTGCTTTTTGAATGACTGGTCTTCTTCCTTTTTTCTCCGGAGCTGGAGTCTGAGCCGCTGGTCTCCTGAGTCTTCACCTCGTCGCCCTCCACGGGGGTGTGCTCATCAGAGTCCGGCTCAGGAGACTTTGGGGACAGCCCCCACACCTCGGGAGCGCCCAACTCGCCAATCCTTTCTCTTTCTCTCAGCCTCCTCTGCCGAAAGCTCTCCTCCTTTTCCTTCTCGTACTCCTCCGCCCACTGCCGGTCGCCCGCATAGTGGCGGTGACGGTAGCGGTACCCGCCGTAGTAGACGGAAGAGGACGAGAATGCGCAGTTGCGGGACGCCGCGGCCTGCTCTCGAGAGCTGCCGAGCGGGCAAGAGGCGCCAACGCCCGAGCCTCCCCACGGAGGCCTGAGGCCCTCGCGGCCGCGGGAGTGAGAGCGGGCCCGGCCTCCCCACGGGGAGCGTCTGGCCTGCGCGGACGGCGGGCTCCCCGACGAGCTGCGTCGCCACCTCCGAGAGCCCGCGGTGTCCTCGGAAGAGCGGGACCGGGACACCGGGGCCATGAGCCACGCCCTCACCGGCGATCGAAGGACCAACGCCGGGCAGTTACCACAGAAACAGCGCGGGCCGGCACTTCCCGCCCACCCGGGCGCACGAGCGACTTCCGCTTCCGGCGGGTTGCTAGGCGAGGGAACGCCGGCTTGTCTGGGACCGCGGGTTGGAGAGGCGAGGCTGCGCGGTGCGTAGGGTCTGCGTCTGTGCCCTGAGTCCTTGGGACACGCAAACCAGGAATTTGCATCAGTGACCCCTCTACTGTTCAAACGTCTTTTGTGTTGCTTGGATATTCGCCTTCCACCGCCTTGATACCCTTCACTTCTCCTTCCTCCCTTCGACCCTCTTTATCATTGCCCCTTGGGGGAGTTTTCCTGCTTCCCACGCTCCTTTCCTGATCCCTTAGAAAGAAACCTGTCCACCATCTCCATGGCGGAAATAACTTCTACTTGTGAACTGCAAACCCCATCTGTGCCTACTGGGAGCAAGAATGTCTTTTGATCACTTTGCTCCATTTTTGCTTTTTTGTCTTCCCAAAGTGATAGTGTTATAAACATTTTTTAAGTTTTTAATGAAAGAAATTATAGTATTTGATTAGAAATTTAATAAAAACTTAATTTTGTTAAAAATAATACATTTTTGGGGGGCGCCTGGGTGGCTCAGTGGGTTAAACCCTCTGCCTTCCGCTCGGGCCGAGATCCCAGGGTGCTGGGATCAAGCCCCGCGTCCGGCTCTCTGCCCAGCAGGGAGCCTGCTTCCTCCTCTCTCCCTCTGCCTGCCTCTCTGCCTACTTGTGATCTCTGTCTAATAAATAAATAAAATCTTTTTAAAAATACATTTTTTGTAATCAGGTCTAATAATGGGAAGAAAAGTTGAGGAATAACATTTTGCCTAATTGGCGATCTACCATTGCAGGGGAAACACAGTCATAGAAAATATGTAAATCAACAGGGATGTGCTCTAATAAAACTATTTATAGACACTGAAATTAGAATTTCTGCAAATTTCACGTCACAAATTTCTATTGTTCATCTGATTTTTCCTCAACAATATGAAAATATAAAATAATTTCTTGCTCATGCCCCACAAAAACAGGCAGTGGGCCAATTTTGGTCTGCAGACAGTAGTTTGTTGACCCCTGACTTAGTAGAGGAAGCAGTGGTACAAAAAATTTACAGCTAGGAACAAAAATAAATGCCTACCATACCTTTTTCAGGGGAGCAGCTATTATTTTCTTACTTTTATGTATAGATGAGCAAATATTCATTCAGATAGAGCACTAGAATGTTTTTGAAAATATTTTTATAAAAAATGGTAGTTTGGGGGGCACGTGGTTTGGCGTGTTAACCAAGAGTTGGTTAAGCGTCCAACTCTTGATTTCGGCTCAGGTTGTGATCTTGGGGTCCTGGGATCAAGCCCTGTATTATGTTCCACGCTCAGTAGGGAATCTGCTTGAGGATTCTCTCTCTCTCCCTCTCCCTCTGCCCGTAGTCCTGCTTGTACATGCGCATATGCTCTCTCACAAATAATAAACAAATCTTTTTTTTAAAAAAGGAAATAGGTAGTTTTTAAATAGAAATACATTCTAATCATAAAGAAAATCACCAGATGTTGAAAGCTCAGCTAAAATGAAATTGCTCTTATAGGTAATATTTTACTATCTTTCTCAAAATTTCTCAAAATTGTTTTCCATAAATTTCCCCCCAAATTTTTATTTTAAAAGCTTTCAAACCTACAGAAAAGTTAAACCTGTATATCCTTTACCTAGATTCACTGATTGTCAGGATTGTGGTTCTTACTTAATTGAAGGAAAATTAGAAATTATGAAGCTTCACTCCTAAATACTTCAGTAATCAATGTCTAAGAAGGACATTCTCCTTCACAATCACAATGCCATTTTTCCTCTTAAAAACTTTAATATTATTATTAAATGTTAGGTGGCGGTGTCTAATATGTAGGCTATGTTAAAATTCCCCAAGTGCATTGCACTTGATTGTGATTACTCTTTGTTCTGTTTAATGTAGAATGGTTTCTCTCCCTACACTCCCACTTCTACTTTTTTTCTTAAAGATTTTATTTATTTATTTGACAGAGAGAGATTACAAGTAGACAGAGAGGCAGGCAGAGAGAGGGAAGCAGGCTCCCTGCTGAGCAGAGAGCCCGATGCGGGACTCGATCCCAGGACCCTGAGATCATGACCTGAGCCGAAGGCAGCGGCTTAACCCACTGAGCCACCCAGGCGCCCCCCACTTCTACTTTTTAAAAAAGATTTTATTTATTTATTTGACAGAGAGAGAGATCACAAGTAGGCAGAGAAGGGGGGGCGGGTGGAGAAGAGCAGGCTCCCTTCTGAGCAGAGAGCCGGATGCGGGGCTCCATCCCAGGACCCTGAGATCAAGACCTGAGCTGAAGGCAGAGGCTCAACCCACCGAGCCACCCAGGTGCCCCCCACTTCCATTTTTTAAAAATTATTTGACACAGTTTTTCAGGGTCCAGGATGATGTTTTGTAAAATGTCCAACATTGAATTTATCTGATAATTTCCTCTCCTCGTGATTAGATTTAGGGTAATTCTGTTTGGCAGATTACACAGACGAAATATACTTTTTGCAGTATCTCATCAGAAAGCATATCACATTATGAAAAGTGTCACAATCTATACTTAGGACTAGGAAATTGCTAACAAGCAAATTATATAGAACTCTGAGGACAAGCTGGAATTAAACATCCCTCCAAATTACTTCATACTTGCTGCCTTTACAAGTATTTAGTGACCTTTCCTCAGCAAGCGACAACAAAGGCACTCACAACGAGACTTACACTGCCTGACAGTATGTGTTTACACGCAGCGCTCTGAACATTTTATGGGGCGCTTCACAAGGGGTAGCTTATCAGATATGCCCATGGTCGCCTAAATTTATGCTGTGAAGAGCACACCAACACCTCAATTATGACTGCAGCCTGTTTCCGAGCATCCCCCTCATACGGGAAGATGCAATGTGACTAAAAGAACAGCTGATCCTTGAACAACACGGGTTTGAACTGTCCACGGTTTTATAAGAGTTGACAGCAAAGGTCTCGACGCATTTATCGACAACTGCACACCCCAGTCTGCACAGGCCTTCTGCTGCCCTCTGAGTACCTCATCAGCCCCCAGAGCCCCAGGAATGCCCACCAGGTGGTTGTGCCCAGGCCCAGGGACAGGCTGGGCTAAAGCTGAAGCTGAGGAACCGGCCATACCGTAGGGTCCACAGGTTGGTTAGGGAGCACTCGGCAAGGTGGCGCTCGCACAGTGGCCATGGCTGCCCCAGGGGCGTCTGGGGTGCACCTGCCAGTGGGAAGGCAGGCTGCTGAGCCCAAGCCTCCAGGCTGGGAACACCACCCAGGAAAAGGAACGAGACTGCTATAAAGCAAAAATCAGAGCTTTATTTCATGCCAAGTATCAAAAAATCAAACTGGTAGGGGCCATCTCTTAAGAGACAAAGATGATGACCCCAACAAGGTCACTCCCAAGAAGGCTGCTCTGGACAAGGGTGCTCCACAAATGAGGCCACTCCAGGCAAGGCCTCTCCCTGGTCAGAGCTGCTCCCAAAAAGAGGCCACTCCAGATGAGGTCACTCCCCAGACAAGGCTGCTCCCAAAAAGAGGCCACTCTGGAGGAAGCTGCTCCCAGCATGAGGCTGCTCCTGACGATGAAGAGGCGATGACAACAGCAACAATGACAAGGAGGACAACCCCGATGACACAGACTCTGCTTTCCAGGACGCCACTCTGACCAACCAGGCTGCTCCCCAGAAGAGGCCACCACTCCGGACGAGGCAGCTCACTGACGAGGCCGCACCCCATACTATGCCACTCCAGATGAGGCCGCTCCCCGGAATGACACTGCTCCAGGGAGGCCCCTCGTGGCGGGGCGCTCCTCTGTAGTGACGAGGCTGCTGGCAGAGGGGCCGCTGGCGGCTCTCACCCCTCTGACAAGAGCTCTGACCGCTCTAACAGCTCTCACAAGAGCTCTGACAGCTCCCACAGCTCTCCGACAGCCTCGCAGACCAACCTTTATAGAGGTGGTTTAGCCCCGCCCACACACAGGTGGCCAATTGAATTTCAATTCACCCTAGTGGATATACGCGCGCCCCACTGATTGGATGTCTTCATCCGGCCTGGCCCACCCCTATATCCGGGGTTTACAAGTAAGTTCCTCTGGGAGGGGCAGGCCCTTACACCAACACGCTGGGGAGGCAGCGGAGGGGTTATTTGTTTTTGCAATGACCGTCCATGCAGTGCAGTATTGTGAATGCATTTTCTCTTTCTTACGATTTTGTGACGGGAGGACTGCGCCAGGGCCAGCGCCCCAAGAGCGGGCTGTTGAAGGGGCGACCCCACAGTGGTTTTAAAGCCGTATTCAACCTCTTCTCTGCGCATTCTTATTTTGTAGTGTGACTTTCTGTGTTTTTAGGTATTGCCTTTTGCTTTCCCCCTCATACATTTCTAGGCATCGTAAGGCCAAGAATCACACTTTTCTTTTGTGGTTTCTCCCAAACTCCACTTAGTATCTGGTGTGAAATCAAATAAACACAACGGGCTGAATGATGAACCAGGGATTTTCGCAAGGGAAACAACACCTTTGCTTAAACGTACAGTTTCTAGGAAAGAGACTGGTAATGGAAGTTAGAACTAGAGGGTGAAGACATGAGGGAGACTCCTAGCAATGCCACTTCCTCACCACCGGAAGGGGCAGAGAGATAAATTTAAAAATGCTTAATGGACAGAGCGGGGCCTAGGATGAAGCGAGAGAGACACTGAGGGCCCAAATTAAAGGACACATCCACTGTCTTAAATTCTGTGACCTAAATGCTTCTCTCACCTCACCCTACTCGCAGCTCTGTAAACAACAGGTGTAGACAAAGAAACATCCTGTTTTTCCTGATGGAACATATAAAAGAAATTCTGATGAATCACCTATAGTCTCACACAGAGGATACAGAATTAGGTAAAATACTGTATAGTTTTGGAACTATATACAGTTCATGTTGTAACAGTTTCCTTTGGCACCACTTAAAGGGTTTTGGACTGAATTATTCAATATTCAAGAAAGAAGGTAGGACTTTGTATAATTAAAAAGCAGATTTCTATGGAAAACTTCAAATATGTAAAAGTGTAAAGAGAATATTACAATGAACTCCTATGCCTCTCGCCCAACTTCAACAACAGCTATTGTGGTACTTTTCTTTGTGTGTTTTCTCTAGTTCTGAGTATTTCATTTTTTTTAGGTAGGCTCCATGCCCAGTGTGGAGCCCAACACAAGGCCCAAACTCAGACCTTGGGAAGACCTGAGCTGAGATCAAGAGTCCGAGGCTCAACTAAGTCACCCAGGAGCCCCTAGTTCTGAGTATTTTAAAGCAAATCCAGATATTATACCAGATATTACACCTGCAAGTACCTCATTATAAATTTCTAACAAATGAGGACTTTTTTCCTTCACATAACCAAAATATCATTATGACAACTAAATTGATAGTAACTCCTTAATGTCATTATGTTTTAGTTTTCCCAATTGACCCAAATGTATTTTTTACAGTTGTTTTGTTCTGATTAGATTCTGAATAATGGTTACATTGTGTTGGCAGGTATATCTATTTGGTCTCCTTTAATCTAATCTTATTCTGTTTTCTCAGCTGCCTTTTCAAAAAAATGCTCTTTATCTGTTGAGGATCCAGGTTCTTCTGTCCTGTGGAATACCCCACATTCTGAATTTTATTTATTGCTTCTTTTAAGTATCATTGAACTCATTAATTCTCAAACGTACCTGCCTATTGCACTTACCTAGGAAATTTTTATTTTTAAAATTTATTTACTTGACAGAGAAAGACAGTGAGAGATGGAACACAAGCAGCAGGAGTGGGAGAGAGAGAAGCAGGCTTCCCGCTGAGCAGGGAGCCCGACCTGGGGCTGGATCCCTGGACCCTGGGATCATGATTCTTAACGACTGAGCCACCCAGGCGCCCCACCTAGGAAAATTTTATGGTTATGCCCACCTGAGTTCCATCCTTCAACATTCTGATTTAGTTGATCTTGGTTGCAACCAAGATCAGGATGTTTTAATGCTCCCCTGTAATTCTATTATGCTGAGCAGTGTGAAAAATGCTAACAATTGCTTCTGAATCTCACCTATATGCAACTATTAGGATCTAGAAACATAATTTGATTCAGGTTCACTTATTTTGCCAACAATGCCTCATGACAGTGCCTTGTACCTCTTGTGGCAGCTCATCAGGAGAAAAATATTTTCTAGTAGTTCTCATTTGTAACAGCCTTTGGGACCTCTCATTTTCTTAAGTTCTATCCCTTCCTTGCTACCCTTTGAACTGCAGAGGGACAGATTGAGGAATAAAAACTTAGGAAGGTACCAGCATGGTATTTTTCCACTTTATAAACTTCTACCAAACTTGCATTCCACTGAGTAGAAAGGGGACTTACCGACATCTCAGTCCAGCGAAATAACTGCTTTCACTTCTGGCTTAAGCCTTGTCCCCTCTGGCTCAAAGGAATCTCAGGGTTTCCTTCCATTTTAGTGAAGCCCTAGCTTACTGTAGGTCTGCCAATATTCTAAGAACCTTACACACACAAAAACTCACTGCTCGCAACATCCTTACCTACTATGACTACCCCCAGTTAAGACTCGGCAAGTCAGGCACAAAGAGGTTATGTAGTTAACCAAGGTCACCCAGCTAGTCAGTGGTAAATAAAGCCAGAATTATGAGCCCAGGTAACTTGGCTTCAGAGTCTGTGGATCTACTCACTGAGCTAGACTCTGAATGGGAACTGGGAAGAAACAAGAAGAAAGCAAGCATGAGAGAGTAGGGTCGAGCAGCCAGGGATACCAAGTTCCCCGAAGTAGGGGGCAGCATAAGCCTGACTGCTGAAAGGAAGCCCTGGAAAATGGGAAGTGGTAACGGGTGGGGGACGTTGGGGACTTACAGTTAATTGGCTGGAGGGGTCGGAATGGCTTTGCTGGCCTTTTGCTGTCGACAGTGTGGTAAGGATGAATGGCAGCGGACAAGAGACGGGGTAGGGAGGGCTTTCTTCCAAGCCTTTTGGCCTTAAAGGGCAGGATGGAGAGTGACAGCTGGAGGCAGGCAAGGACCAGGGGAAGCCAGGGCTCTCTTCCAAGTAGGCGCCTGTGATGGCTCCGGCTATTTTTGCAGGCCCTGCTGCCGGAGATCTAAGAACACCGAGGAAGCCGGGCTTCTGAACGTTAGTGTCCGGTGCGTGCCAGCTCTACAGCCACGTGGACATGAGAGCCCCCAGATTTCAAGGTGAGGTCTTACTTCCTCTACAGAGCTCGCCGTGCCTTCTTCCTTCCGGCCCTGAGCGCAGCCATCCTGGCGCGAGCCCGGCAGCTGAAGGGTTAAACTGGGGGCTGCCGCGGAGAGGCGCGTGCTCGCGGGTCCACGCCCCCCGGCTTCCGGGGACCAGCTTCCGGTGCCTGGGCTGCGCGCGCTCCGGCGGCCGGGGCTCCTGCCCGTTCCACTCCGCCGCGGGGAGACTGGCTACCGGGCTCGGGGCGGCAGCGGAGGGGGCGCGGCCAGGGTGTGGCCGCGGGGAAGCAGTGCCCCGTGTGGCCCGCAGTCGTGCTGGCCGGCAGCGACTCCGCACTCGAGGAACTGCCGGGGAAGTAGATCGGCTCGCGGGCGGGAGGCCTGAGATGGCCAGAGAGTCGAAGTCCAGCGCGGCCTTGCACGCCGACGCGGCAGAGGAGCGGCCGGGGCTCCTGACGGGGGTCCTGACGGTGAAGGTGGAGGAGGACGACGTTCCCGCGCCGGCGGTAGAGGCGGGCGCGCCGGGCAGCCCGGCCCCCGGCCCCGAGCGCTCGCGCCGGCGCTTCCGGGGCTTCCGCTACCCCGAGGCCGAGGGGCCCCGCGAGGCGCTGAGCCGGCTGCGGGAGCTCTGCCGACGCTGGCTGCGGCCCGAGACGCACAGCAAGGAGCAGATCGTGGAGCTGCTGGTGCTGGAGCAGTTCCTGACCATCCTGCCCGAGGAGCTGCAGGCCTGGGTGCGGGAGCAGCAGCCGGAGAGCGGGGACGAGGTGGTGGTGCTCCTGGAGTATTTGCAGAGGCATCTGGAGGAGCCAGGGCCGCAGGTAGAGGCGAAGGGCTTAGTGTCTGAGACGAGCCTGTCTCTTCCTGAAGTCTCAACATCGGAGTGAGGGTCGTTTCTGAAAGACCCAGAAGTTCTCAGTCTCTTTTCGTATCATAAACCTCTTTGCCCCTTCGGAGTACTGGTATTTTTAAGAACATGAAGGATTACAGAAGAACTCAGTTATATTGAAACAGTTAACAGAGCATGAAACAAATTAGTGATATATGTGCTTTTTTAAAAATTAATCCACTAAATAGTAAGACCCAGTCAGGCCCAGTAACTGGTAGAGTTTCATAGTGGTGCTGAATGCCTTTGACAGCGAGCGTGTGCTTGGTTTTGCCTACTTAGGCTTATATCACTTTCATTTGTTGCTTCCATTCATAATTGAAGGAATTGCTAAATTTTGCTTAGACACTAGTAAAAATAGAAATATATTTCCTGTTTACATTCATAGAACACTTGGAAGAGAGCCCACGAACCACAAGTTAGGAACTTCTGGGTTCATTTTTATCTGCATCTTCCTGCTTTTTGTGGACCATTTTCCATGTGCATTATCCTGTATTTTTGTGCCTTCCAGGGGACATTGTAACTGGTGACCAGGAGACCAAGTTTTTTTCGTTGTTTTTTTTTTTTTTTTTAAGATTTTATTTATTTGACACAGATCACAAGTAGGCAGGGAGGCAGGCAGAGAGAGGAGGGGAAGCAGTCTTCCTGCTGAGAGGAGAGCCCCATGCTGGGCTCCATCCCAGGACCCTGAGATCATGACCCAAGCTGAAGGTGGTGGCTTAACCCACTGAGCCACCCAGGCGCCCTGAGACCAAGCTTTTGAATTGGCCATAGTGTCCCCAAGCCCTGTAACAGTGAAAACTCATTTCAAGTCTCTTGGTTTCAGGTTGTGCATTTAATATAGAAAATGTGGAAATTCTAAGCTGTATATAAGCTTATGATCATGAAATTGAATTCAAAACTAATTATAAAAGCCCAGAAAGAAACTTGTTTAATGAGGGCATACCATATCCCTGGCCCTGTGTTACGTTATTTCATATGCTGTCATCCTATTTGCTAGTCCTCCAAACCTCGTAAGCTAGAAATTATTATTTTTACTTTTCAGTAAAAAAAAAAAAAAAAAAAAAAAAGTATTCTGAGAACTTAACACTAGTTCCCAAAGAGCACAACGTATGTAACGAGGGAGCACGCGATAGTGGCTAAGAGCGTGGGCCCTGGGGTCCCTCTGCCTGACCCCCCATCCTAGCATCACCACTGATTAGCTGGGTGACCTTGGGCAAGTTGCTTCAACTCTGGGCCTCCATTACCTCAGCACAAAAGCACAGATAATAGTAGTTCCTCGCTCATAGAGCTGTTGCTACCTGCATTCAGTGAATCACGATTCATAAGGTTCTTAGAACTAGTGCCTGGAAAACAGAAAGTACTAGCACAGAGAAAGCATACTAGAAGTTCTGATGAATCAGTAAGTGAAACTTCCAGGTCCTCGGTGGTGACCAGACGCAGCTGCTCTGTTGCAAGATGGCGGTGCTGACACCAGCCCAGAGGCCCTGGAGTACCGAGTTGCAGCCAAAGAAGGCTCTGCTCAAGCGCGAATCTCTGGGATCCCAGGCCTCAGCAGACAGAGGTGAGTGTTGTCTCCTGGGCAGCTTGAATTCGACAGCTTCATTTAAAAGACAGCTCTGTTGACAGGTGCTTTGTATGCTCAACACAGATCTACTTTACTTTGAGACTGAGACGACAGGGAAATTTCACACAATGGTGGGAAGCTTTCCTAACCAAACCTGGACCTAATAAATAAGACTATTAAAATTGGTATTTGGAAAGAGTTGATTTTTTTAATAACGTGACCTCCATTTATTTAACATGAGTTTGTGGAGATGCCCTATGTGGTAGCCAGTGTTCTGGCACCAGGGACAGAGCTGTCAGTAAGACAGATCTCTTGCTCCACTGGAGCTTACATTAAACGGGAAAATGACAAAGAAAGCAATGATATTTTAGTTATTAGTGAGTGAGGAATATAAGGCAAGAAATGTAAAGCCCGCCGTAATATCCCAGACACTGTAGGAATGCTGCAAGTCAGAGTATAAATCTTCTCGACCCTTGGTCTGTACCTTGGACAGGGTGACAAGTACTCCACGGGAAAGCACCATATGTTCCCAGGTGTTCCCCATATGCTGTGCACATGAGGGCGTATTCCCAAGACACACAGCACTGGGACATACCAACCAACGTGCAGTCTTTCTCCACAGAGGTTCTGCCCTAATTTGTTTTCTGCCCCTTGCAAAGTTCAGCTCTTCCAAGAAAACCAGAAGTGACCCTTTACTTCTCTCAGATTTGAGCAAGTTCCATATAAACAGCGTTCATTTTCTTATTTCTAGGTCTAGCCTCATCTCTTAGTTTTTTAAAACCAAAGCAGAAACACCCTAAAAGCTACTAAAGAGTTACTTCACCAAAAATCTTATCCATTCTTTCGACAAAATTCAAGACTAAAGATCATCAAATGGAAAGCTTTGTTTTCTTTTGATGTTGCTTTCCTCTCACAGTTCCTCCCGAGGAGCCTGCCTGCATCTCTGCAGCAGCACACCACGCCTCTCTAGGCTCTAGGCCTGGAGCTGGCAGGACCAGGCACTGGGGAAAGGAGCACATTGTGTATAAATTTTCTGGGGAATTTCCTGGCCCAGTTTTTGAGCCTGGAATCCACAGGCCAGGGAGGCTGGGTGCCAGGGTCCATCTCATCCAGAGCGTCTTTCCTTCTTAGTCCTCCAGGTTCCCGGGCTTGCCCCGGGAGGGCACCGCAGAGGACACGCACTGGTGACTGCCAGGCTGCCCCCACAGCCCCAGGTGAGCCCGAGCCCCCCTGCTGTGCATCCTTTGCCAGTCTCTCCCTCCCGCCCTACATCCTACACCCACCCAAGTCCTAGGTGGGATTTTAAGTTTCTCATGCATGCCAGTGTCGCTTGTCATGGTCTAACTTCCTGGTGCCTGTGGAGGAGGCTTTTCCTATTTTATGACTCTCCTGGGCGCTGTGTGTGCTTCCACACCCTCCCCTCTCTCTCTGGTCAGCCCCTTCCTCAGTGGGATTTTCTTCAATAAGTACAATTCGGCAAATGCAAGCTGAAGCTTTTGTCGTGATGGTACTTTTGCCCTGAATGGGATTTTTTTTTTTTTTTTAGGATTCTATTTGAGAGAGAGAGAGAGTGAGCACGAGAGCGGGGAGGGGCAGAGGGGGAAGCAGACTCCCCGCTGAGCAAGGGGCCTGACACAGGAGGGCTCCATCCCAGACCCTGAGATCATGACCTGAGCCAAAGTTAGAGGCTTAATGGACTGAGCCACCCAGGCGCCCCAAGTTTTTTTTTTTTTTTTCTTTTTTCTTTTTTTAAATGCCATGATAGGGTATAAACACACAGTCTCTGGCTCTCAAGGAACTTAAAAGTTGAGAGGAAGGTGAGGCATGTCCATTTTTCTCAACTAATAGTACAATCTGAGCAAGCTTTACTTAACGTGGATTTTACTTTCTCATCCAGTTCCTCATGTCCTCGAGATTCTGTAGTCGCACTTTCTTCCCTGACTGTCCTCACCTCAGACCTACATTTCTTTTTATTCTTTATTTTATTTTATTATTTTATTCTTTTTAAGATTTTATTTATTTATATGACAGAGAGAGACAGCGAGAGAGGGAACACAGCAGGGGGGTGGGAGAGGGAGCAGCAGACCCCCCGCTGAGCAGGAAGCCCGATGGGGGCTCAATCCCAGGATCGTGGGATCATGTTCTGAGCTGAAGGCAGACGCTTGACGACTGAGCCACCCAGGCGCCCCTCATTTCATTATATTTTAATAATCATTCATGTCAATGAGCCCCCATCACTACCTTGCTGAAAATCACGCCAGAAATCTCGTGAGACGTTTCCGTTGGTTCCAGGCCTTTCACTGGGTTGGCCGTTATTTTGTCTAGACAGTGACAAACACACCCTCACGGGTTCTCTCGTTCTTTACTTCCGTGCTGTTCTGCTGACCGGTGAGGCGGGTATTAGTGGCTGCGCTGGCGTGGTCGGCACAGCCGTTGGAGGGGACACTGAGTCTCCTGTGCCCAGCTGCGGGCGGGACTTTGGGGCAGAGGAACTAGGTGGGACCGTGTGCTGTTTCAGGGCTTGCTGAAGACGGAAGACGTGGCCCTGGCTTCCTCCCTTGCGTGGACACAGCTGGATTCATCTTGGAGGAGCTTCCACGGAGAGGAAAGGCAGGAGAACTGCGGCGGCCTGACTCCCCTGGGTAAGACATGGGTGCTGGTCCCTGCTAGGGTCTCGTGGCTCCCCTTGTCGGTCAGAAGCTGCTGGGCTTCGAGAAGCTGTCTGAGCTGTTTGCGTCCAGAGCCACCGATTCTGAACCCGCTCCTAACCGCAGCGTGACCGGCTCCTTAACCCCCGTGACGCCGCCTCCTTCCTGTTCTGCCAGCATTCTGAGCAGGGGACGTGGCATGCAGCAGACGCAATCCCCAGCCTTGCTCGCAGCAGGTGCGCAGTCAGTGTTGATCCCCCGCCCGCTGCCAGCCTCGACAGGAGACTGAGTCCTCCTCAGGAGACGGGCCACGGGACCGTAGAGCATGAGAGCAAGAAATGACCCGGAAGGGACGGCAGAGGTGACCTAGAGATCAGGACACAGGGCAGCAGCCGGACTCGTCAGAGCTCACGGCTCTGTGGTGTGCAGTGGCAGTGCCAGCTCAGCTCTGTCAGCAGCGAAGCCGGTCCCTGTCTGGGGTCAGAGTGACCGCTCGTATCCCTGGCTGCGGATCAGTTTCTTGGTTCCCGCTTGTCCCGTTTCTTACAGAATGTTTCATTAAGTCCTTACGTTTGCCTGCTTCCTTCCGCCGCCTTCCGCCCAGCTCTCCGAGCATCCAGCCCCAGTCAGGGTCCTGCCTCCGTCCTTAGGACTTGGAGCCTCTGCGTGTGTCCCCGGCACAGTCCTCACCACCTTCCCCACCTCCCAGGGGCGCCCTGCTTCTGACGGCCCCACGCCTGTTCTCCGGTCCCCCCCCAGCATCCGTCGTCCCCTTTTACTCCCCCATCCTCATCCTTGCATGGAATCCTCGTCCCGGCCTCTGGGGAACTCCGCGGCAGGGCATAACTGACCGGTCTGACCGCTCGTTCTTTCAGGTGGTGCCATGCAGGCTGAGATCGCGGACCCGCGCCTAGATGAGCAACATCCAGGACAAGAGACTGGGGAAATGCCGTGCCCTGTGGGTGAAGACACTGCCCAGGTTCCCGCCCACACAGAAGCTGGTGAACAGGAGGGCAGGTTACCAAGAAAGCAGAAAAATGACACAGGAAGTAGGCGGCACTATTGTCATGAATGTGGAAAGAGTTTTGCTCAGAGTTCGGGCCTGACTAAGCACAGAAGAATCCACACTGGAGAGAAACCCTACGAATGTGAAGACTGTGGCAAGACCTTCATCGGGAGCTCTGCCCTCGTCATCCATCAGAGAGTCCACACTGGCGAGAAACCGTATGAGTGTGATGAATGTGGCAAGGTCTTCAGTCACAGCTCAAACCTTATCAAACACCAGAGAACCCACACGGGGGAGAAGCCCTACGAGTGCGAGGACTGCGGGAAGACCTTCAGCCAGAGCTGCAGCCTCCTGGAACATCACAAAATCCACACGGGGGAGAAGCCGTACCAGTGCAGCATGTGCGGCAAAGCTTTTAGGCGGAATTCACACCTCCTGAGACACCAGAGGATCCACGGTGACAGGAACGTACAGGATCCCGAACGTGCAGAGACCTGGGAGAGTCGGGGGAGGGTGGGAGGCCAGTGGGAAAATGTTGAGGCTCCTGTGTCTTACAAATGTCATGAGTGTGAGAGAAGTTTCACCTGCAACAGAAGCCTTATTGAACACCAAAAAATCCACACTGGTGAGAAACCCTATCAGTGCGACACATGTGGAAAAGGCTTTACCCGAACTTCATACCTTGTCCAACATCGGAGAAGCCACGTCGGGAAAAAAGTTCCATCACAGTGACCATGTCGTACACAGCAGTGTTGGTGCTCATTCCTCATTGAACCGAAGCCTTTGCCAGCCCTTCCTGATCACAGACACTGGGCTGGGCTTGACTGACCACTTCCTGTCATCTTGTGGCAGAAAATGCAGAGTCTGGCTGAGATGGATTCTCCTCTACATCCTAGAAGGTGGCTGAGGAACAGCTTGTTTGATAGGAGGCTACGGGAGAGTAGTCTGGAAGGGTAAGACCTGAAACATTTATTCTCACCTACTGGACTGAAATGGGCTTCCAGACTGGCTAAGCACCTCCGGCCAGCACTTTATGACGTCTCCTATGCAGACGGCTCTGATGAGGGCTGCTGCTCTGACCATTTTGCCTATGAAGAATCCTCCATCATTCGGTCAGATCCATGACTTCTTACACTCCCCGCTGTGCCTTGCGTACAGGTGCTTATAAACATTAAATATACCAGTGAGGTGATGTCCATAGCTCTGAAAATCTAATGTGGTCTGGATTTCTGAGGTCTTTCTAACTAAGGCCACTTATGTTTGTGTCGGATTCTCTGAGGTTCTAGATCCTGGGTCAGTTGTGCATTTACTGCCACACACACAGGACTGTCAGAGTTGGGGTCGGGGAATCCGTTTTCTTCTCCAGCTTAGTACTTGTAGACGAATGCCTTAAGCAGCTGATCATTCAGACGCGGTGAGACTGCTCCATCCATGTAACTCCATTTTGTTCACATTAATTTTGCTACTTTTTAGGAGGAAACCTTTCACAGGTAAATAAAAAGTGGATTGATCAAGTCAGATCCAACTGATTATGAATTTTGATATAATTTCTGTGATGTTCAATAGCTTGTTTCTCACCTTTTAGTTATCTTGGGCCTAACAAGTTGCCAAGACACCACCTGTATCCCTCTCTCCCATGATTGAGCCAACTTGAATCGCAGCTTACGTTAGCAAGGCCTAAATTTCCTCCAGGCAAGAGGATTCACACCAGATACTGCTGACAGGCTTCATTCATGTTTTCAGAACTGGTCTGTTCACTGGGTCGGGGTAAGAAGATAGTCAGAGGCAGCCAGTGAGGATGGGAGCCCACGTATGGACAGTAGGAGAAAATGTATCCGTTCAGAATTATACTGGACTTCTACTCTACAATATCCAAAGTATCAACCTGTGAAGCCACAAAAAGACTTGTGATATCTTTTGTTTTCACCCAAATCACCAACTGAATTCTTTAAAGACTGGCGTCTTCTTGATGTCATCAGCTTCCAGCTTTCCAGGCTATGCCAAGAATGGATTCCATTTCTCGTGGATCTCAGGACCATGTTTTGTTTGGTCACCAGCAGGGTGGTCCCTGTGCTCTCAAGTACCCTTTCTAGGTTCCCACTCTGAAGCAGCACAGGCTGACGAGAGACCTGGCAGACTCGGGGGCTTTCCCTCTTCCCACTTTCTTGAAGTCTTATTGTCTTCATTGCCCCTCAGTGCGGTGTAATTTAAAACTTAAGTTTTCCAAACTTTTACCGGCTTTCTCCACCTTTTTAGCCTTCTAAAATGTAATCTTTTTTAGCCTTCTAAAATTTCCTTAATCTTTTGTTACTTCCACAAAGCTAGCAGTTTTCTTTTCTCTATTCCTAAATGTTGGCGAACAGCCTTGATCTTAAACACTGTTCATATTTCTTTGGTATTTTTTTTAATGTCATGGGGAGAAATGTATGTGAAAGCTTTTTATAAACCAGAAACCATTATACACATGTAACTTGCTGGGATTAACGGGACCGCTGTGCTTCCTTCACTTTCTGCTCCTTCCCAGCCTTAGACACTTCTCCGTAGAGGAGGGAATACTGTAGAAAAATACTTCCAGTGCCTGTTATGTCTGATAATGAAAGATAAAGCATATACACACATACATGCTTGGGCTTAGGGTTTTAGTGTGCTGAAGTCGGTAAGACATGCACATAAATTGGCATGCCATGAGAAATGCCTTGGGAATGGTGAGCTGAAGGGTACAGAATCGCAGGAAAAGGGTATTTCTGGCTGTCAGCTGTCAGCACATGGATACGGTTATGTGCGAAAGAGCTGGAATTACAAAGAGTTTGTCAGATTTAGTAACTAAGGCAAATGCGAAATAGGCATAGTAGGGGTCTTCAGTGCCAGAGTAAGGAGTTTAAATTTTACTAAGTACCAGGGAGCCAATGACATGATCAAAGTATTATCTAACAGTATTATGTAATTTCAACTTAAAAAGTTACTTTGTTGGTAGTCTTGGACACCTTGCTTTTGTATAAAACAAACGTATGTTTATGAAGTAAATTATAAAATGGCTTCAAACCTAGTCTATTTAATAGGGCAGCCAAAAAATTATTTCCAGATAAAATTAAATTGAGTAAAATAAGCTGCTTAGTTAAGATATGACCAGTATTTGGGGCACCTGGGTGGCTCAGTTGGTTGAGTGGTTCAGCTCAGGTCATGGTCCCAGGGCCCTGAGATCAAGCCCCGCATCGGGCTCCCAGCTCAGTGGAGAGAGAGCCTGCCTCTCCCTCTCCCTCTGCCTGCTGCTCTGCCTACTTGTGCTCTCTCTGTCAAATAAATAAAATCTTTAAAAAAAATTTTTTTAAAGATATGACCAGTATTTAAAGTAGAATAAAATGCCACTTTTTGTGCTGTTTAAAATTGTTTTTTGAATTTTAATGTTGATTAGTCAGGCATTCTATTTCATTTCTCCAACTGCTGCAGAGCAGAAATCCTCCATTTTATGTTTTCTCCCTTTGCATGACTAAGTAGCTGGTTACAACATTTTTTCCACTTGGGTAGAATGAAGAGTTACTAGGAAAGGAGATTTTGAGGAATAGACCTCCTAGATATATTCTTAATTTTGGTGAAGTAGATAACCCTATGAAACACTTTGTTTTCTCCTTTAGAAAGAAAAAGAGGGGGACAGATTACCCACAGGATTGAGAGGACAACTTATACAAACAAGTGATGGGAAGTTCTAGTTCAAAGTGGCACCATAGGAGACCCTGAACTTGCCTCCTCCCACAGACATACTGAGTCAAGCTACAATGAATGGAACAATCTCTTCTTAAAAAACAAAGGATGGCTGAGTGACAGCTACACACCTAGCAAGCAAGAAGAAAACCACATTGAAGCGTGTAAAAGAGTTGAAACACAATTTCCCAATAAAGCCCACCCCTGGCACAGCTGGGACGGAACTCAAACCTGGAGCTTCTCCCTGCGGAGCAATGTGTTCAAACCCACATCAGGTATACCAACTTTTAAGACACAAACTTGAGAGACAGCTCCCCGAAACATATGCCTGAAAACCAACGGGGACCTGTGTACCAAGACCCACAAGACTGAAGTGATCTGAGAAGCTGCTCTTACAGGGCTCAGAGGCAGCTGATAGCAGTTAGATTGAAGGTGCAGTAGGCTGACCTTCTATTAAAACATTGGCCTGAGGAGCAAATCTAACTGAATATATATGTAGGAGCCTGCTGGAACATTCCAAAGAGGAAATTGGCAGGTATCATCTTTGCAGTCTCTCTTTACCATGCTCCAGAGCACCAGCATATCTCAGAAACGAGCTTTTACGTACCTCTGGTGTTCCATTTTTGTGGCTGTCACCTCGGGGATGCCTCTGGATCATCTGGCTCTGGAGGCCAGGGGAGCTTACATTCCTGGTCTCATGGGACTGTAATATTTGGTGTCACCCCCAAAAGGAGCTCATACCCAGTCTGGTGCCCCAGTTTTTGTGACTGCAAGAGAAGAAAGGAACAGAGAGGAACTGCAAAAACAGCCAGACAACAATTTTGATAAGCAGTTACCTACCAATAATTACCTTAAATGTAAATGGACTTAATTCTCCAATAAAAGAGTGGCTGAATGGATAAAAAGACAAGACCCATCTATATGCTGCCTACAAAAGAGTCGCTATAGATATGAGGACACACAAGACTGAAAGTAAGGGATGGAAAAAGATACTCCATGCAAATGGAAACCAAAAGAAAGCTGGAGTAGCTATACTTTAATCAGATGAAACTGACTTTAAAACAAAGACTAATAAGAGACAAAGAAGGGCATGACATAATGATAAAGGGGTCAATCCAACAAGAAGATATAACATTTGTAAATATTTATGCACCCAACTTAGGAGCACTTAAGTAATATAAAGCAAATATGAAACAAATAAAAGGAGAACTAACCAGAAACCAATATTGCACTATATGTTAACTAACCAAAATTTAAATAAATTTTTAAAAAAGGAATAAAAAGAGAAATAGAGAGCAATACAACAGTAGTAGGGCTGTTGTATTCCATTGATGGATAGATTATCCAGACAGAAAATAAGGAAACATTGGCCTTACATGATATATGAGACCAGATAGACAACAGATATTTATAGAACATTCCAGCCTAAGGTAACAATACACATTCTCCTCAGGAGTACATGGAACATTTCCCAAGATACATCATATGTTATGCTACAAATCAAGTCTTTTTTTTTTTTTAATTAAAATTCAATTAGCCAACGCACAGTATATCTTTAAGTTTTTTTTTTTTTAAAGATTTTATCTATTTGACAGAGATCACAAGTAGGCAGAGAGGCAGGCAGAGAGAGAGGAGGGAAGCCGGCTCCCTGCTGAGCAGAGAGCCTGATGTGGGCCTTGATCCCAACACCCTGGGATCATGACCTGAGCCAAAGGCAGATGGCTTTAACCCACTGAGCCACCCAGGCACCCCCATCTTTAGTTCAATGATTCATTACTTGTGTATAACACCCAGTGCTCATCATATCACGTCACAAAACAAGTCTTAATAAATTCAAAATTACTGAATCATGTGAGTGTCTTCTAACCACACTGGTATGAAATTAATTACACAAAGAAAACTTAAAAATTCACAAATATGTGGAGAATAAATAACATGCTACTGAACAACTAATAGGCCAAAGGAGATATCAAAAAAATACCTTGAGACAAATGAAAATGGGAATGTAATATACCATA